CGTGCTTAACTTTTCTTCAAGGGACTTATCACAACCTTTTTAATTGCATATTTATTTGTTTAGATGATTATTGTGCATTTCCCCACACTAGAATTTAAATTCCGAGAGAGTGGGGACTTGATCTGTTTTATTTAATACTACATCCCTAGGAGCTAGTACCTACTTGGCACATATTAGGCATTTAATAAATAACCGAATGAATGAATAAATTGCATCTTATGGCTGCTTAATGTTCCAACATATGTATTTAGAACATTTAACATAGCATTTCCTCTAGTTAAGGACATTTAGATCATCCAGATCCTTGCAACCACAAAAAATTGGGGGAAGAATTTTCTTACAAATGTTCTCTAAAAATGTACATGTGAGTTTTGGTTCCAGGTTCCAAGATAATTTGTCAAGCCAATTATCCCACACTTAACTATAAAATCTGAACAAAATATGAACCGAAAAACAAATATCAAAGGCACAATTAACAATGATAAAATCTGAACAGAATATAAACCAAAAAACCAGCTATTTGAAGGCACTGGAAAATCAACAAATGCAGGCAGAAACCAGAGGAGAATTTACCCTTGAAAGACATCAACTGCAATGGGTAAGAATTGTAATTTTGTGGTCTTTCTGTGTAAAAGTCCTTCCCAATCCTACCCCATTCCCCAGTTCCAAAGGTATAAAACCGCAGCCTTACTGGCTCAAAATAGCAAAGGACAGGGTCCAGGACTGGTGGAGCAGCTGGAAACTTAAGAAGTGAGAGAGTGGCATAAGGGGTGAAACCAAAATATGAACATAAACTCTGCCCAAGTCTTTGGATGACTAAATTACACATGCATAGGAGAGGCTGAAGGGGACCTAGGGAAAAAAGCTGGCAGAATCCAGTGAGGAGTCTACTCTTAAATGATAGAAATGCACTGGGGGAGATGTGCAAATCTGCAGCTTTTTTGACGTGCATTTTTTAGTGCATTCCTCAATTCACATCCAGCTTGAGTGGCAGCTGACATGTCAGAGGACGGGGTTTGGTAATGGAGAGCAGCTGGAAATTTAAAAGGAAAACCTCAGGCCGGCCCTGTGGCTTAGCGGTTAAGCGCGCGCCCTCTGCTGCTGGCCGCCCGGGTTCGGATCCCGGGCGCGCACCAACGCACCGCTTCCCCGGCCATGCTGAGGCCGCGTCCCACATACAGCAACTAGAAGGATGTGCAGCTGTGACATACAACTATCTACTGGGGCTTTGGGGAAAAAAATAAATAAATAAATAAAATTATTTAAAAAAAAAATTAAAAAAATAAAAGGAAAACCTCAGAAGAAAAAGATGTTAGAGGGGATAAGCCCCCAAATCTGAGCCAAACTCTGCCCAAATCCTTGGTAGTGACTAAACTATGTACATACAGGTAGATGACCAGATGCCAGACTGAAAAAGCAGCTGCTGAAAGAACTAAACAGAGATATCAACTATTGCACACCACAGGAAATACAAAATTTGCAATTTGAGCCCACCCACTTGCCCAAAATGCCTGCTATAACAACAACAACAACAAATCTTCAGACCATAACAGAATGAAAACTAACTACAATACGTTATCCATAATATCCAGTTTTCAACCAAAATTACCAGACATGCAAATAAGCAAGAAATTATAACCGTGTTATAATTATTAAAATATGAAATTATAAACAATAACTGATACTCAGGGTAAAAGACAGTTAATAGAAATTGACTCCAGTTTGACTCCAGTGGGCTCAGGTATTGGATTTAGCAATTAAATATTTCAAAGTGGCTATTAAGATATTCAAATAATGAAAGGAAAATATGTATAAGAAACTCAAGGAAAATATGGTCTCAGTGAATCCACAGATATGGAACCTTACTGGGGGCATAGAAACTACAAAAAAGAACCAAACAGAAATTCTAGAACTGAAAGATATAAATAACTAAAAGGAAAATTTCAATATATGGACTCAACCACAAATTAGTGATGGCAGAAATAAGGCTCAGTGAACTTGAAGAGATGAATAGAGATTAATCCAAAGGACAGAGAAAAAGAATGAAGACAAATGAGAGTCTTGGGAACATATGGGACAATATTAATTGGTCCAACATATATGCATGGAATCCTAGAAGGAGAAGAGAGAAAGAAGGGACAGAAAAATATTTGAAAATATAATAGCCAAAATCTTCTCAATATTCTTGAAAAACATGGACTTGGATTCAAGAATCTATGTTTCACAAGCAAGATAAATACAAGGAAACCCAGACCTAGGAATATCATAATCAAATTGCTGAGAGGCAAAGAGAAAACATTGAAAACACAGAGAGAGGAAGATAACATATACTGGGAACAGGCTGGAATTCTCTGGGTATAGTTGGCCCAGTTCCATACCTGGGCATTCTGCCAACATTTGCTTCTAAAGCGATGAAATCGTGTGGTCTTGTCTTTTTCAATTGTCAGGCCTGTTCCCCTCCCTGCCAATGTGGCCTCTCCACAACTCTGTTTGGTGCTGCAGACCCCAGTGGTTCTCTGCCTCATACTCCATCAAGCTTAAAGGGTCTCTACTCAGTATCCACACTATATAGGGATTAAGAGAGACCTCTTCCTGCCTGTGCCACTCTGCCCTCTCAATGCTCTTGGAGCTACAGTGAGTCCATACTGCAAAGCAGTTCCCTCCTAAAGTCCCAGTAGAGAAAAGGGCAAAAGCCTTTTTGCCCTCGGTACCTCAGTTTGTCTACTGTTCCGTCCCAAGGTCCCAGATCAGGTTGATTTTCTCACCACGCTCCTCCTGTTCTTGTCTCTACTCCTTCATCTACCCCTGTCCATCAGGAAAGGACGGGACGTGTTTCTCCCTTTTGTCATGTGTATTACTTCTTCCTTCCTTTCATTGTTTGGGACTTTAATTTCCTAATGGGATTTTAATTTATCTGGTAGACAGTTTCAATAGTGAAACTGTCAAATCTGGAACATTTTTACATGGCAGTCATTGTATTTGGGCTATGCTGTCATATGGTACTTATTTCATAATCTCTAATTGACTCGGTTTAATAACTTGGCTAGGCATGATTCAAGAATGAATTTCAGCAGTTATTCCTCAATAAAGCTGAAATTTTAAGAAACAGAAAAAGAAAATCCTAGATAAAAGAAAAGGAATGAATTTTGGTCTAGAGAATGGTGTGGATTTGTAGGAAATATTCTGTACTAACCAATATCAGATGGTTTTACAGATATCTCACTATCGCTCCCTGCTCCCACTGGACGATAAATAGTAAGGATGGTAAACATGGACAGAGGGTCCATTTATCCAAAAGCACTTCTTTAAGACTCTGCTAATCTCCTCTCCTGGAGGAACAGCCATGCTCCAGGTTGACCGTAGAAAAGAAAAGGGAAGGGTGTCTGAGGAAAGTGGAAGCTTTTGCCTCTCTGCTCAGCCCTTTGTTGAAGGACATCGTTGCACCACAGTCGCTGGTGAGTGGGCTGACTGTGAAGAGGTTGTGCACCGATGCTCAGTATACACTTCCATTTACATTTCTTCCCGCCATGTAGCTCGTATGGAGCCATGCAGCAAGGGAGGTAATTTGTAGCTGGTGAGTTTTGGTGCTTGGAGGCAAGGAGAGGAGCCCAAGTAGGCCTTTAGCTCTGCTATACTCTGCCTCAAATTTTATCAGCAAGGTTTGCCCTGGAATAGCATGTGATCACACGACTAATAATAACTGATCATGTCAAAGCAACTCTTGATTCCCTACCCACAACCTGTCTCTCCCTCAAATTTCCCATCTCAGTAAATAACACCATGATCCACCCAGCTATTCGAGCCTAAAATATAGGAATCATCTTAGATTTGTCCTCTTCCCTCACTCTTCACATCTAATCCACCAGCAAGTCCTGCTGGCTTTGCCTCCGGAATATATCCTAAATCCATCAATTCTCTGTCTCCACTGTTATGACCCTAGTTCAAACTCCATCATCTCTCACTTGAATTACTTCAATAGCCTCCAAACAAATCTTCCTCCTTGTTACTCTGGATTTTCTTCCACCCATCCACCATAGAACAGCCAGGGTGATCCTTGAGAAATGCAAATTAGATCATGTCATCTCCCACTTAACACTCTCCAATAGATTCCTCCTTATGCTTTTAAACAATACAAGCACATTATCATGAAACGGCTTTGTGTGATCTACCCCTTTCTATACCTTTCCATCCTTTGGGCTTACTCTGTCCCTCACTCACCATGCTCTAGCTACATCTTCTATTCCTTGAACACCCCAAAGTTGTTCCTGACTCAAGACCTTGGCACCCACTGATGGTGATACCTGAAACACTCCTCCCTTTCAAATATTTAGCATGCCTTCCTATATTAACTGCTCCCTTCTAGCCGCTAACACTTCAGCCTACTTTTATTTTGTAGCACTTAAAAATCATCACATTAACTTTATATGTTGACTTTTTATTGTGTGTCTCCCTGCATAAGAACAACTTCATCAGTGCCTGGAAGAGCTTCAGAAGAGTGCTCCATAAAAAATTGTTGAATGATCATAGGACCTTGTATCTTATTTTGCTTTTGTTTTTTGTGTGTATGACTCAGAGAATCCATCACTGGGGAGGGGATGACAGGGCAGGATTGGGGCATTCCCAATAATACCACTAAACGCCTTAAGAAAACATTTTGAGTTCTAATGTTCTCCCTTTAAAAATATCCTTTGTGGATTCAGCACAAGTGCTGAGACCACAGTAGAGAGCTGGGGAGGATTCAGGATCCTGTGTGTCGGCCATCCCCAGATCTGCCTAGGTCCTTGGATCCATGACTAACACCAAGCCCCTCTCCCCCCAGGGTACCCACCCTCCCTCTCCCCAGTTGCCAGGCACACGCCCTCTTCTACCTTCAGTGTGCACATACCTCCTCTCTCCTCAGCTGTGCACAGTGTGCTTTCCCCTCGGTGTGTCACATTCTCCATATGCACACACCCTACACTCCTTCTAAATCTCAGAAGTCTTCCATGAACCACTCCAACTTTATTTTGGTTGAGGGCTCAGGGCAGGGGTGGGCTGCAAACATGGACTCTCCTTTGGACACAGGTGGCAGGGCTGAGCTTCGTGGGCAGGGGCAGGTGCATCAGGACATTCCTGCTGTGCAGCCTAGTGGTACCAAGGGGCCCTTCCAGGTACACGGGACAGGAGTACACAGCCAGGCCGGCTGGAGATGGCAGGTCACTGGTGCCCTGAGCCTGGGTGCTGACGCTGACTGGAGGCAGAGGGCTGGGCTGGCTGGATGGACTGTCCTGCAAGGCCCCTGCTAACGGGTCCCACTCTGCGTTCCAGACCTGTAGCCCAATCAGCAGCAGCCCCGTCTCAGGAACCGTGGGATTTGGGTCGCTCACCACCTGGGAGCACCAGAAGCTGGTCAGGCAAGGCTAGGAAGCTGGGGGATGGTGGTGAAGTGGGATCAGAGAAGCAGATGGGGTTAGAGAGAGGCAAGATCACCTAGAGGCAAGGTGGGGTAACTGCGAGCTGTTATCCTGGATTTGAGGAGGGGAATTGCAAAGGAAGGGGCAGCAGGAAGATACCTGGAGGTGCAGAGGGTTGCTGTTCAGCTCCTGACGTCTGTAGGCGAACTGATGGCAAGCGGAGAAGTTGGAGTCGGGCACATACTGCTCCAGGGCGACCACAGGAAAGGCAGCCTCCCAGCGCAGTGCCAGCAGGAGGCGGCGAGGGTGGCCAAAGGCTGATAGGTGAAAGATGCGCTCTGGTACTTCGGTGCCCACGCCCAGGTAGCGAACTAACAGCTGCCCGCGGCGCGACAGCTGTCGCAGCCAGTGCCAGGGTGGCTGTGGGCCGGCAGGCGCATGGGGTCGCCAAGGCGGGGGTAGGCGGCCAGTCCAGAGAGCGTGGGCCACCTCGGCACAGCGCCGGGAGGCGCACGGGGGCGCCCCCTTCAGCTGCTGCAACAGGCAGTTAAGGTCGCGTTGCAGCGTGCCCACCAGCTGACTCAGTTCCAGCACCTCTGTCTCCAGGAAGCCTTCCAGAGGCCGCCACGCACTCAGCCGCGGCCCCACCCACCCCGCGCCAGACCAGTTTTGGCGAGAGGTCTCTGTCAGCAGAGCCTGCAAGGACTCCAGCCTCCGCTCAGCTTGCACCAGACGGTGCCGCAGCCGCCTCTCGGCGCGCCGGGAGCCTCCGCGAGCCGCAGGAACCCAAGTGGGTGAACTCCGCTGCAGCGCGCTCAGGAGGGCGCGGCTCTGGCGTCGCAACAGCCAGGCCTGGGGGCCAGCACTCAGTCCGCAGATCTGGGGTTCGGGTGGTGTGGACAGCAGGTGCATCTGGGCCTTGCATTCTGCCACGGCATCCAACTCATTCAACTCTTGGAGGTGGAGGTGAGGAGTGAGAGACAAGGTGGATTCTCTCCACCCTAGACCCAAGGGAGTAGGCCTTCCTCTGACACTTTAAGCCATCACCCCATCACCTTCCTTACACCTTTATTGGTACCACTGTTCACATTCCCATGAGGGTGGCATTACGCTGAGCCGTTCCCCACCCCAACACAGATACCTGGCTCTAGCTTACCTGGGCTGGGCATCAGAGTGGCCAGCAGATACTGGGGAGTGTGTGGTTGGGCCCAGCTCCCACTGCTGGGGCTCAGGCAGGCTTGTGTGAGACTGATCAGGGCCTCCCTGTCCTTGTCATCTCCCACAGGACCCCCATAGAAAACTGAAGCTGAGGATGAGGTCAGAGCGCCTCAATTCCAGCCCCTCCAGTTTCCCACCTCCCAAAGCAAAGTTGTGAATTATGTCCTGGTAGTATTCCCACCCCCACCCCTTTCTGGGCTCTCCTGGGGGCTGGTGAATATGTGGGGGATAGGAAAGGTCTCACCGGCTAGCTCCTGCATCGCAGTGCTGGGGTTGCTGAGGCTGGCCCACAGCTGCTCTTGGATTTGAAGGACCTGAGTCAGGGTCACTTGACTCCTAGGGGAGAGGAGCAGGAAGTAGGGTTTCACTATATGCCGAGGACTCTCATATCTCTCTCTCCAGCCCAAACCTCTCTCCTGAGCTCCAGATTCATGAGAGCTCACTAATCATTGCCAGTTGGTACCTCAAATACAACTTGCTTTCAACTGAAATCATCATTTCCCCCACACCAGCCACCCAATTGTCCAAGGCAGAAATCTGGGAGCCATCCTTGACTCCTCCCTCTTCCTCACCCCGTATTTACTCCTATCCTACTGTGACTACCCTGGTCCCTACCACCCATATCCTGATCTTGTCCCTCGAGACTGCCAGAGCCTCCCAAGACTGTTCTGCTTGCCTGCAGCCCTGACCCATCTGGTCCATCCTGCACACTGCAGCCAGAGTGATCTTTCCAATGGACAAATAGGATCATGTTTCTTCTTTTACTTAAAACCCTTCGGGGGCTTCCCACTGTCCTCAGGATAAAATAGGGCCCCTTGCCATGGTCTTGAAGGCCCTTTACCACAAGCCACACCTCTCCCCTCTCAACCCCCAGCATGCCCACCTCAGCCACACTGAAGTCTTCTCCCTCTCACTGAGCTTAGTTCCCTCAGCTCAGAAAGGCCTCATCTCCACCTAATCTGCCTCTGCTTTCAAGACTCAATTCAAAGTGAGATCCCAAAGTCCTTGGAGAAGACTTCCTTGACTTCCCCTTGCCCTCACACTTTGGAGCTCCCCAGGGATGAATCCCAGCATGTGGAAAATACTCAGTGTTTGCTGAGTGACTGACTAACTGAGCAGGATGGGTGGGTCCCTCACCAGCGCCCCCTGTGTGCCTGCAGCTTCATTCCATAGAGCTGCCGGTGTAGCAGGAGGCCATGCAGGAGGAGCAGAGGCAGCACCCTGGTAGGGGGTTGCATGTAGAGTCCTTGCTGGGCTAGCTCCATGCTGTCAATCAAGACATGGCCCAGCTCCAGGGACTGGTCCCAGAAAACAGGCGTGGAGTGCTGAATCAGCACAGCTGGGGAGGAAGGAGAGTGCTGAGTCAGCACAGCACAGTTGCTCTCCCCCCTCTAATCTGAGAGCCTATGGGGTAAGCTCCTTACCTGGTAAGGAAGCAATAGCCTCTGCAGATACGATAAGCCAAAGACGGAAATCTTGGTGGACAGTGGCCACATTCCTGCTTGCAGGTTGGGCTAAAAGCAGTTCTAACTCCAGGTCGGAGACCACTAGGGGTCAGACATGGGGCTGAGATCAATCACTGGGTAAAGGGTCAGACACAAGTCTAGGAATCAGACTTGAGGCTAGAGGGTCAGGAGTCAGATACAAGGGGACAGACTTGGAGCTAGGAATCAGCCATGAGGCCTGAGAGTTCAAGTTCAGGCCCAAGGGTAGGATAGGGTCCTAGAAGTCATCCCCAGGCAGCAAACCCACCCTTGGCTCCATCCAATAGCCCCAACAAGGGCTGTAGCAGCTCTTTCGGCCAGTGAGGCATCAGATGACAGTTCTCCAGCACCAGCCAGTGTCCTTTGTGCATAGCCTGGCATAGAGTGCTGATCACAACTGAGAGCGGGTCCCAGGCTTCAGAGCCCAGGGCTATCACCTCCAGATGCCTCTGTCCCTGGGGACCAACAGAGAGATGGCAGAGTAACACAAAGTGATCCTAGGGTGACCCAAGGGACCCAGAGTAATGCCTCAAATGACCCAAAAAGTCCCTGAGTAACCCAGAAAGATCCAGGAGAATGCTGGGAGGGGGTCCCCACACCCCCGAGAGGCTAGGCTCAAACCTGCTTATGCTTGGCAGCCAGTTTCTGGATGACAGTCAGGGGATGCAGGGTGGCTGTGAGGTGACCAGTTGGTGGCAACAAGATCAGCATGGGCTGAGTAGCCTGACTGTGTTCAAAGGGTATGGTGGAGGCATCCAAGTTTTCCTCCAGGGGCCGGCCCAGGAGGCTGGTGGTGACATCTGCCAGAGCACCTGCTAGGCACTCAGGTCGCAGCACACGCCACAGGATCAGCTTCTGGAGGAGGCTGAGTGGATCAGGCCCAGGCCCAGGTGCAGGACCCAGCACTGTGGATGACAGTGACAGATAAGCCTGCCAAACACTGGAGTGGCCTGCCAGGGACTCACACAGCCCAGCAAATGGGGGCAGCAGCTCTAACATCCCACATTCATGCCAGGCCCTCAGCCCCAGCCAGGCTGGTCGAGCCACACCTGGGTCTGGCTTGCTATAGCCTGTGCTGGGAGAGGCTGCCAGTCCAGGCCAAAGTGCCAGCCTCTCCAGCTCTGGTGCCTTTCTTGCCACTCGCAGCAGAGCCAAAGCACCCAAGGCACCCACCAAGGGTACTTGGGTCAGGCCCAGTGTAGCCACGGTGCTGCCCAGTAGCTGGCGGGTCAGGTGTGTTCTGAGCTGCAGCAGATGGCTGGGCAGGTCCTCCCGCTGATGAATCTCACACTGCTTCATGCTATTCAGAGCCTGCTTGGTGGCTGCCAGCCAATTCTCTGAGCTCATATGGAAAAGTGGCAGCAGGTTCTGCAGTGGGCTAAGGGCCTTTATAATGGCCATTCCATGCCAGACCACTTGCCGATAGGGTGCCCGCAATACCACCTCCTGCAGCTTCAGGTCTTCTAGCTCCTTGCAATGGGCACGCAGCCGACATAGCTCTGCCTGGGCCCTCACCATATCCCTCAGGAACTTGGCTGGTTTCTGATGCTGTGGGTTCTGGAACAGCAGCATCGTCAGCAGCCGCTCCTGTACACAGTCACTTGTTGCATGGATCTGGCCCTTTCCCACACAGTCCCCAATCGTCTACGCTCATCTCCATCCCCATTCCTGGGCCCCTCCCAAGCTCATCCCAACCCATAGACTGGGCCCGCAAGCACCTCAACAGCCTCCACATCTTCGCAGGTGTCCAGGGCTCTGATCTTTAGGTCCTGCCAGCGGCTCTCGAGCTCAGGACACTCTATGCACAGGATTTCATGCAGCATCTGTTCTTCTAGGAGTTCCAGGTTCAGGCCCAGATCCAGCACATTCAGCCCCTTCAGCAGTTCACAGCCTAGCACTTGGGGTCACATGGGAGACACTTAACCCCTTCCCCTTGGCGGCGCCAGGGGGTGAGGTGTGCAGGGAGTATGGCTCCCTACTATGGCTTCCCTACTGAGTGAAGCGGGGGGCCTAGTGTGTCCACAAAGCTGTGCTGGCAACTTACCCACTGGGCCTCACCTTTTCCCAAGGCACTGAGGGGCAGGGTAGTGCTCAGATAGAGACAGAAGCCAGGCTGCACCTGGAGTGGGCTCAGCTGCTCCCGCTGTAGTAACCATTGCAGTTCCGGGCACGCTAGGCCCAGCTCCACGTTGGTCAGTAGAACGGGCAGGCCTGTGAGGGAGAGGCAAGGACACCCCTACCCACCATGCCAGCGCCTATGCCACCAGGCACAAAATCTGGCTCTGACCAGCTACCCCCCCCCGGCTGATAGGAGGGTTCCTTTAAGGCTCTTCCACAGAGTCAGTGCCCAGGATGAAGGTGGGAGCTGAGGTCAGACTGGGTGTGAGAGGCCTCTGGAGCCACAGAGTAGGGGCAGGACAGAAGAGGGACATGGTGGGCGGGCACTAGTTCTCACCACTGGCAGCTGCCTGGCAGAGCTGAGGACCCAGCTCTGGGTCAGCACCTGAGAGCACGCTAAGGAAGGGGAGGGAGGGAGACTGAGCCTCAGAGGCTGGCCTCGACTCCTGCCTCTTCGTCTCCTCCTCCTTCTCCTCTTCCTTCTCCTCATTTCCCCTTTCCTCTGCCTTCTCCTCGTTTGTCTTCTCCTCAGCCTTATCAGTCTCTTCACTATCATCATCTTCTTCCATGTCCTCCTGTTTACACTCTTTTTCTTGATTTCTCATGAAGCCCTTCCCTGTGGCAGAAAGATGCAGAGGAGCTCTTCTCAGGGGAGGAATCAGGCTCCGAGGGAGCACCGTTCAACCAAGGGCTCCATCTCATGAGGGAAGGTCCGCAGGAAGACACCTTAGGAAAGTTGCTTAAGCTCTCTATGACTCAACTTCCTTATCTGCAGAATGGGGTTGACATTAGCGACTACCTCATAGCGTTAGTGTGAAGATGACAGCACTCAGCTGGCACCTACTAAGCACTCCATAAATGTTAACCATCATTATTATTACTCTAAAATTCTAGGCAGGGGTTCTAGTCATCCCTGAAATCAGCTCCATTTCTGCCGGTTGGTTAGAAGAGTCAGCGCATTTCCCTTTTTTGCCTAAGCTAATTCTGTCACTAACAACTAAAAGAGTCGTCACTAATATAGAAATGGTGCCTGGAAGTAGTGACTTGTAAGTGAAAGGCCATAAACTGTGGAATTAGCTAAGTCATGAGCGGTGCGGTGGACACAGATGGTTGGCTAACCAACAGCCATCCCCAACCCCCTTCTCCTTTGCCTCCTCTACTGCAAGAACTAAAAAAGATAAATACTTTTTTTTTTAAGCATTAAGAAATTTAAGAATTTTTTAAAGTATTAAGCATTTAAGAAGTGGGCAAGTGGAGGCTGCCAGGTCCACAGTTTGGTGTATTCACTTTCTACTGCTTAACAAATCGCCACAAACTTAGCAGCTTAGAACAACACCCATTTATTATCTCACATCTGGGTAAGTCAGAAGCTCGCATAGCATGACTGGATGCTCTGTTCAGGGTTACTCTGGGCTGACATCAAGGCCTCAGCTGGGCTCCAACTGTGTCATCTGGGACTTGGGTCCTCTTCCAGGCTTACTGGGTTTTAACAGAATTTATTTCCTTCTCACACTTTCCCTAGAGAGCACTCCATCTTCCAGCCAACAAGATTCATTGAATCCTTGTGTTTCAAATCTTTCTGACTGCCTCTTCTTTCTTCCTTTCTTCTTTGAAGGGCATACATGATTACATTGGGCCCACCCAGATAATATCTCTCTCTTAAGGTCAACTGATTAGTAAACTTAATTACATCTGCAAAGTCTCTCTTGTCATGGAACACTTCAAAACTAAGGGAGTAACAGCAGAAGACAAAGGTCTTGGGGGCCAAAATTCTTCCTACCACATTTGGCTATTCAGACTTCTGGAGAGCTTTTGTTTTCCTGACAAAAGGGACAGAAATGGACAGCAGCAACCCTGACATGATGCCTGGAGGGACAGCAGCCAATTTGATAACAAATTACCACAAATATGGTAGCTTAAAACAACAGAAACTCATTCCATCATAGTTCTGGAGACTTGAAGTCCAAAAGCAAGGTGTTGGCAAGGCTGCACTCCCTCTGAAGGCTTTAAGAGAGACTCCTTCCTTGCCTCCTCCAGCTTCTGGTGGTTCCAAGAGTTCCTTGGCTTGAGGCTACGTAACTCTAATATCTATCTCCATCTCCACGTGGCTTTCCCTCTGTATACGTATGCCTTCTCTTCTGTCTCTTACAAGGACACTTGTCATTGGATTTAGGGCCAACCTAGATAATCTAGGGTGATCTCATTTCAAGGTCCTTAACTTAATTACATCTGCAAAGACTCTTTTTCCAAATAAGGTCACATTCATAGGTTCCAGGGGTTAGGATGTGGACATGTCTTTTTGGGGGCCACCATTCAACCCACTACAATATAAGCCAGCATGCTAAGAATCGTAGACCAGAAAGATAGAAGAATCTGGATGCTTGAAAGCAACACTGAAGCCCTGACTCGCTTATCTCAGTACTTCTTATAATGTGAGATAAATAAATCTCTATTTGTTTAAGCCATAAATTGGGTTTTTGTTACTGTTAGTGAGAGCATTCCTAACTGATTCAGAGAGCTGGGGGGCAATGAGGATTTTTCTTTTCCCTACTGGGAAGGTGGCCAGGCTCTGTGGTGGGTAAAAAGTTGGCTTATCTCATGGGACTTGGCCCATGTGCTCACTGACCTTTAGTGGATTTAGTAGAAGATACTGGAGCGTGCTGGCTACTTCTCTATTTAGATGAGAAAAACAACCTCCAGAAAAAACTTTAAGGGAATTCCTTTCTGCTCATATCAAGCAATTTCAGACCACAAATGATCAGATACTCATGCACTTTGCTGCTTGGTAAAAACGATTCTCTACCTCATGGAATAGGAAATTACGGGCTCTTGGAGGAGCATGGAAAATCAGGCAAGCCTAATTCTCCAAATCCATTCCACGTACTTCTCTCTATGCATCTCTGCTTGACAAAGATGATGGTCTCCCTCCCTGCTTTTGACCTGGATAGAGCCCAAAGTAAGAGGGGCTGCATTCCATGACCGATTAGCCTAAGCCCACCACTCAGACTATTTTCTTTCTTACTACAGCTTGGGAGAAGGCTGAGGTTTAGCTGGATGACAATTACACTAGGGCTTAGTGGAATTGGTGGAGACCCCAGAACCAATGTTAAGAGACAAAAGCCGAAAGGTAGGGTTTAGATTAAGAATGAGAATGTACCAAGATTTCTGGCATTGGTTAATAGCTAATAGAGTCCTTACAAATGAAATCTGCGGGAAAAGACGAGAGATTTAAGGAGATTAGGCAAAAAATCCCACGTCTGGTAACAAGTGGTCTGTATTTGCTTAATTTTAAGGCAAATCCTAAGCTTCCATACCCGTTCCAATAGGAAGTGGACATTTAAGTAAAAACAGCTACACCAGGGGACTTTTGCCCAGCTTTCCTTTTAGCCCTGGGGAGGGAGGACAAGGAAAATTATACTTTTCATAGGAACCCAGGGCAGCTGAACTAGCTGTCCAAGAGCTCACTTGACAGCGGGTGAAGTGATGCTGATCATTTGCCTTACTATCTCTGTCTGGCATTATATGACACATATATACAGCATATGTTTCTTACCCTTTCCCAGTTTCTAAACAGAAAGTTTATTGTAGTTATTTTGATTTGATTTTGCTTCACTTTGCATATCAGGTGTCTTGGTATGGTGAGATTTAGCATGTAATCTATCATAGGTTATGGAATCACAAAGAGCCACATCCAGATCTGATCAAGAACAATGAACATCATTCAGAGTTCCTGGACTCAGAATTGGATGAAGCAGCTAGATGTTTCTTTTTTTTTCTTTTAGCTTTTTTTTTTTTGAGGAAGATTGGCCCTGAGCTAACATCTGTTGCCACTCTTCCTCTTTTTTTCTTTTTTCTCCCAAAAGGCCCCAGTACATAGTTGTATATCCTAGTTATAGGTCCTTCTAGTTCTTTTATGTGGGACGCTGCCTCAGCATGGCTTGATAAGCAGTAACTAGGTCTGCGCCCAGGATCTGACCTGTTGAACCCTGGGCCACCAAAGCAGAATGCGTGGACCCGACCACTGCACCACTGGGCCAGCCCCCAGGTATTTCTTCGAGGTGTCTCTTATTAGAGAGGGGGGAATCCATTTTTAGTTACACATGTGGTAGTTATATGATGGGCATTCTTGTAATGGTGGATGGGCACAATGGAAAGTTATGCTGGATGGCCAAGGGATGGACTGTAATAACAGTAGCAATAATATATTAGTAGTAATAATGACTAACATTTTTGAGAACTTATTATATATTAGGCACTGTATGAACCCCTTTTACATGAATTATCTTACTTAATACTCACAACACATTATGGGACAGGTATAATTAAGACCCTCATTTTATTGGCAAATGAATTTAGGCTTAGAGAGATTAAGTACCTTGCCTAAGGTCACACAGGTAGTAAAGGATAGATATTTGACCCAGACAGTCTGATTATAGAGCCCATGTTACAGATCACTTTATTACACATCTTCCATTGTAGATGTCTATTATTCTCACCAATGCAACCCCTTCTTCTGGGAAATAAATACCCTTGCTTCCTTCCCCTAGGAAATGCTCCTTCCCTGATTCAAGCAGAGCCAATAGAAATATTTCCCCAAAATTCCTATACATGGGATAAATTCGGGTAGTAAAGCTCTGAGTTGTAGGTTAAGCTTCCAAAAGTGCTGAGCAGACCAGAGAAGTGGAAGATTGTGGACTGGTCAGCCATATAGATTCAGAATGATTACAATACGGGCCAAAAAATATAAATGTGACCTAATTTGTTAATATCATGTAGGCTGGTGAAACCTGGGATACCCTGGCCACAAAAATTTAGTGTCTTCATTATGAAAGGGAAGATCACAAGTGGCTGAGAGTGTTGGGCAGTTCAGACACCTGAGAAGCACTGTGTTTATTATCCCTGGTTTTACCTCTGCCCTCAGCGGGACCTGGGGCCAAGCATCTGGTCTCTTCCAGAGGCAGTGGGTTCAGCCAGATGAGGGCCTGGTTGCTGGGGTCAAGCAGCAGAGGCCAACGGCAACTGAAGTAGTGGGTGCGACTTCGCAGAAGCAGGCCTGCCAGGCGGGCTGACTTTGCCTGGGGCTTCAGGTCTCGGTCCCACTGGAACTGTTCGGATTCAGAGCTCAGCAAGGACAGAAGGCTGAAGGGGGAGCGTGTGGAGAGCAGAGGGTTCTTCACTGGCATGATGACAGATTTCTGCTTCTGCTTCAGTGCCTGTGCCACATCATCTGGGCCCAGGGTCTCCTGGAATCCTCTACACAGAGCCAGCCACTTGTCTAGTAGCTCCTGGCGCCGCAATGGTGGGAAGGGACCCAGGTAGATGACAGCAGCTGAACATAGGAGGGCATCTCCGAACACAGTTGTGCAGTGCCCCTTCAACTTCTGGTGTGGAACGGAAGGTCAGAGGGTGTGTAGGCCAGTGAGGAGGGTATAGGCAGAGGGTCTGGCAGAGAGGGAGCAAGGCAGGGTAAGGAGGGCCGAGTGGGACAGAAGGAGGCAGTGAAGGCACAGGGAGGAGCAGAAGAGTGGGGGCAGTGGTGCAGAAATGAACTTTGTGGGGGGCGGGAATCTGAGAGGGGCTGGTTACCTGGAGCTCTGTAGTCCAGGAATGCATGGGTGTGAGCAGTGCAGCCTTCATGGGCCATTTGCAGTACTGGCCAGACTGAGCCCGACTGAGATTCTCGACCACACGGCTGTGGGAAGCCTGGGCATCTTGCAGCTTCTTGGTCAGGGCCAAATTGTGCTCTAGGATCTCCTGGGCCTGGAACTGGTAATGGCCCAGGCGGGCCTGCTCCCGAGCCAGTGTCGCCTCTACCTGCCGCAGCAGCTGGCCCGTGGGCAGTCCTCGGCGCTGTGCCAGCCCGTAACACAGAACAGCCCAGAGCCAGGCTGCCAGGCTTGCTGCAGGTATGCTTACTGCCTGCAAGGCTGCATTGCTCATACCTGGAGCCCTGAGAGCTAGGTTTAACTTTATCAGCTCTGAGTCTGTCATCTTCTCCTTGGGGAAGAACACCAGCTCCTGGAAGAGTGTGTATTCGGTGGTGGGGTCGGGGGGTCGGGGTGGAAACACAGAGGCGCTGAGCCTTGCCCCCTCAGCCTAGCCCCACCAAGTCTCCCTCCATGCCTCCCCTCTCCTCCTCCACTGTGCTCCACACTACCTACCTGATAAAAATCCTCACTGCATAACAGCTGCTTGGCACTGGCCCAGCCTGTTTCACGGTGGAACAGGTCACACAGAGCATCAGTCACCCGGACCACAGATTCTGGTGGTGCTCGATAGCTTCGTATCTCCTCAAAGTCAGCCACCTGCAGCTGGCTCAGGGGCCCCAGAAATGCGTTGCTCATCTAAATCAGAGAGATGCATTCTTGAAGTGAGCTCCTGAAATGTCCTCTTTCTTCAAGGTGTTGCCATGAAGGATCATCTCCTCCTACGAGTCCCCATGAAGGACTACTCCTCAAGCCATCCTATTACCTTTGCCCCTCCCCCAGGAGACTCCATGACAAGTCACCCTCCATGACAAGTCCTCTCCTCTGGGCATCCTATGAGCGTTTGGCCCCTCGAGAGAGAGGAGCAATACAGGGAAGGCAGCAGGAAGAGCCCACCTGCTCCAGGAGAGCCTCGCGCTGAGCCCGCAGGGCATCTTGCTGCTTGGTCAGGTTCTCAATGAGGTTCTCCTGCTGCCGACACTCTGCCAGCTGCCGCTTGTACAGGAGCTTGCTTTGATCTAGCTGCTGATGCAGTGTGCTGAGGCTCTGTGAACAGAGATCCAAGCTCTGCAGCTCCAGATCCAGGGCCAGGTGGGAAGGCCCCAAGGGAAGACCCCATGGGCGCGGGACTCCTGCACACTCCTCACTTGATAGTCAGGGTGACCAAGTTGTACTCTAAATAGGCCACAGATACAGACTGAGCTCTGGAACTGTTACTTACCAGTCTGTGAGTTATACATCTAGTAATGCAGCTCCAAGTGGTGGTTGCTTCTCCCGACCTGCCCTACAGGCCCAGGCAATCTGAATCCAAAGCCTATGTGCTGAACCATTATGCTGCACTCTTTATCTTACCTGACCTATTAGCAGCAGTTATCAGAGAAGACACTTCCCTCCTCGAAACATTCTCCTCCCTTGACTTCCCCGATAGCGTGTTCTCCTTGGGCTTTCTCCAACTTCTGTGGCTGCTCTTTCTCACTCTCTTCCTCTGCCATCCCTTAAATATTCCTCAGCAGTTTTTACAGGCCCCTTCTTTTCTCACTCTATACTTCTAGGCGCCCTCTCTAATCTCATGGCTTTAATTACCACTTATTTTCTAACAACACCCAAATCTCTCTCTCCAGCCAGATTCTCTCCCAGGCCTGACACCCATGTACCCATCTGCTTAGTGGGAATCTCTTCGACATCTCGCAGGCCCTCAGACTTCACATGTCCAAAAATAAACATATTGGCTGTGCCTCCTCAGATCTCTCGCAATCTTACTCATCTCCTCGGTGGTCTTTTTCTCAGAGAACTGTGGCAAAATACACCCAAGTTTCCCAAGGAAGAAACCTAATTGTGACCCTGACTCCATCTCTTCTATTTCCCCAAACGCTACTCATCTTCAAGGCCTTTCAATTCTCCTTCCTAAGTGTCTCTCTTGTCTACTCCCACCCCACACCCATCACTCATGCCCATGCTCTCACCCTGACCTTCTGCACTGGCTTCCTAACTGGCGTCTTGGCTTCCATGCTTATTCTTCCTCCTCTAGTCCATTTTTCATGCTGCAGCCTGGTTGGTTTTCTAAAAACCAAATATCATCATCACTGTCCCTTAATACCTGCCACTTTTTCATTTCTTTTACAATGCCTCCCTGACCAAGAGGTCTCTACTCATCTTTCCAACCTCAGCTCTTTTTCCTCTCCCAGCACTCTACTCTCCAGCCATTCCTGACTTTCAGTTCCTCCAATGTGGCACACATTCTCTTGCCTCTGGGCCTTTGCATATGCTATTACTCCAGCCTGTCACATTTCTCCTCCCCCCTGCCTTTTATGCCAAATCTTACCTAACCCTCAGGTAACAACTTTGATGTACTTCATTCATTTGTTTACATATTGAAGGAATGTTTTTGAGCGCCTACCATGTTCTGCATGTGGCTATGTGCTACATTCTGTGGCACTATGCTTTCTCTAGGAAGTCTTTGATACTTCAGAGCACTCTATACTTTCTCTGTCATAACACACTGTTTTGTAATTGCCTGGATGAGTCTATATCTTCCAGTAAAGTAGGCCCCATGAAGGCAAGGACAGCCCCTCATCTTTCTTATTAGGAGGCAATCTAACCTAATAAGGACTAACAATTATTGAGCTCTTACTATGTGCCAGCACTTTTAAGTGCTTTACATATTAAGATCTCATTTAATCCTCATCCTAACCTGATCTCAGTTTTCTCATCTGTAAAATGGGAAAAAGGACAGCCACTTCAGAAAGTTGTGGCAAGGATTCTATCTATATATCTATCTATCTATCTATCTATCTATCTATCTATCTATCTAGATGTAAACATAGATGTAGACATAGACATAGACACAAATATTAATGGGTGCCTCGACAAAAAAATGTGGAGTTCAACTAATTTTTGTTGAGTACAATAATGAATAAATGAACCAATTGAATATGAGAGAGAGAAGAGATGGAGGGATCCAGAATGACTCAGATTTGGCTGAAATGACTAAGGAGATGGTGGTGCCACTTCCTGGGGTGGGGAACATTGAAAGAAGTACATACTACTATGACTGTTGAGTGAATGACCAAGGGTTCTGACACTGAATGCCTCTAAGACTATGAACACCTCTTATCCAGATTTTGGGCTTCTTATGTTGTGCTCTGATATAACTGACCCAGGGATCAAGAATATAATAGCCCCTCTAAACCAGATCAACAATTCCTGGTCTTAAACAAGGTAGGGCCCAAGACAAGAAACTGGAATATGGAAAACATGGGAGAGGGGACCCCTGTCCTTCTATGAACTTCTTTTTTTTTGCATCCCAACTGAGTTTTGAGGTTTAATCTAAGCTAGCGATCCTTGGTGATGGATAGCAGGAGGGCACCAGTACGATGGGAACTCCAGGGAGCACCATTTACACAGAACACAATGAAAACCATGTATGTGGATACACATAAGCCATGCCCCTGGAGTTTGCAACACCGGGTGATAGCCCTGAGGGCACTCATCAAAACAGGCAGGCTGGACATTAGGAATTGTAAGGCCTGAAAACCCAGTAGAAAGTAAGTCAGATTATCTACTTGTGAGTTGATCATTAGTTCACCTCTCTGTAGTTATTTATCCCTGAACCTTCAAGTGTTGTGTAGCACAAAGAAAACAACAACAACAACAAAATGCTATTTCAGAATTCCTCTTATTAAAAACAAAAGAAAAAAACTCCTTATTTTGGGAAAACACCTTTAACTGAGAGTATTTGACTATAGAAGTTGTGATGACCCCACTTCCACCAGTTTTAGCTAGATATGAGAGGTGTATTTATTCAAAGAAGAAAATTGCTCTGTATAAGAAAGCAACAGGATTTAGGGTTTGGACTAGGAAAAAACCTCTTGTTACATGAGAATTGTATTTGGGGAGCTCTAAAGGAGATGTGGGGTGGCTGAATAACATTGTGGAGCAGATATTGGGGAGATGTGAGGAGAAGAAAAAGTTGGTCATTGGGAAATGCTCTGTAGAGGACAGTGACTGAGGAAATTCAGGACACTGATTTCTAGAATACCATTTAAATCTATTTCTGGTTCTGTTCTAGAATGTACATTGCCTCTACTGCCATCATCCATCCACATTTCCCCACTGTACGCAACAGCCTTGCATATTTGGTGCTTTGGTGGAAGGAAGAGGTCAGGGACAAAGCATTGTGGGAAAAGAGGATAGCTACAAGAGGTGTGCCAACTAGCAGTGATGGAGAATTCAGGAGAAGGGGATAAGAGGAGGAGGCAACTGTGAGAATGTAATCCCTGCCCCATCCCCAGTGGAAATCTATAGAGATCTTGGGAGGCATACTGAACTTCACAGTCAAGGAACTAGGGATAACCAGAATCAGACACTTGGGTTTCATGTGTTCAGAAGAATCAGCCTGGTCTGAGCTGTGCCACGGGGAACTTTGAGCCTGAGCTCTAAAGGGGGAGGCAGCAGGGATTAGAGAGATCTCCTGGGGAAAGGGGATTCTCGGGAGAGAAGAACTAAGGTTTGGTCTGGTTGGTTCCTCCAAAGTCCCCTTTTGGGCTCCTGCTTTGACTTTACTGTGCATGCCTCATAATCTTCTCCCTCTTACCGTGCAGGAGGCTTTCAGCTGCTCTTCCAACTTGAAGATCAGGTTGGTGTGGGCGTTGTGCTGCTCAATTATCATTCTCAGGTTCCGCAGGGCATTCTGGATCCTGGAGATACAATGTGCCAGTGAGTGGACCCAAGGGAGCAGGAGGTACAGTGCAGGGAAGGGGGCCACTCACCGCTGGGCCTTGCTCTTTATCTGCAGGATCATCTGTTCCTGTAGCAGCACAAAGGTGTCCAGGAAGTCTAGGAAGGTCTTGGGGGTGACGAGTGGCAATTCAGGGCACAAGTGCCCATGGTAGCTGGCAGCCGAAAGGTGGATGAGAGCCATGGCTTTGGCCACACTGGGAATTGAGGCCTGGAGGTCTGGGCACTTCAAGGAGTCTGCAATGGGTATGACTTTAGCCTGGACTTGTGAGCTTGTAGGGGAATGGGAAGGGAAAAGGACCCTCTCCTGGCTCACAAGAAGGGCAGAAAAAGGGAAGGGGGCCCACTAGGTTCTAGAAAGAGAGAGACTGACTTAAGTAATAATCCTCATTAGAACCTGGATGAGATGAGTGGCGAGGACAGGTAAAAAGGGCTCACCGTCATCAAGGGGTAGACTCTGAGCACCCTTCAGGTAGTGCTGGACCACTCTGACCAGGGAATCCTGATCCCAGGTTTCATAGCGGTCAATGCTGGCGACGGCCAGTTGAAGGAGCCTCAGGAAAAGGGTGGAGGGCAGCTGTTTGTGGGCCTGGTCATCGCTGATCAGGAAGAACATGTGCAGGTGGCTGCATACTTGCTGGTAGAACCTGTGGGCCAGGGGATCAGGTACTGTCCTCCCCTTTATCCCTATTTGCCCCTGGTCCCAACTCTGACCCCTAGCCCTGATCTTCTGAGCCCTCATGGCAACCCCTAGATTTCTTTTTGGCCTTTTTGCCAGGATGGAGCAAGAGCAGAGCAGCCCCTGTTATATAGGGTTCTTGGCCTCACCTCTGCAACAGCATTTCCTTCTTGATGTTCGGCTTGATACTTAGGTTCTCCCTGAGGAGATGTTCTTCAATGTTGTCCAGATCTGCGTCTGTGTACTGGTCAGGGAAACTGCCTGAAGTAGCCAGGGCTAGCAGACAGTGAAGGGTAGTAAGATCCACATCCGTGGGCACCAGCAGGGCCACTGGCTGGCCTAACATGCCAGCATGCCAGCTGGCATCCTGTAGGCACTGGAGAATGGCCTCCTCTGACCCAGATGGCAGATGGAAGAGGCGGACCTGACAAATGCTAGCTGCCAGAGTGATGGCAGTACGGCGCCCAGTACTCAGAGCTCCCGAGAGCAGTAGGCTATGCTGCCGGGGCCTGGCCAGCACCCGGACCAGGCGGGCCACGTGCTGGGCCATGGAGTGGCACTGGGCAAGGTGGGGGCTCAGCTTCAGCTGAGCAGCTGAGGTGGCTAGCTGCTCCTCCAGGCTCTCCCACTGCCGTTCCAGGTACAAGTTAGGGCTCTCTGAGTTGGACCCCAGTATCAGCTCCTGGCTGAAGACCAGGTCTGAGGGCTTTTCCTGGGGATGGAGTAGTAGCACTGGTAGCAACAGGGGTGAGACCAGGTCCATCTGGGGAGTCTTCTGCCACCAACTCTTAGAACTCTTTAGCTGGAATTTGTAGCTGGAGGCCCTTGTGCCTCTCTCCTGGCTTATCTTCTGACTCATGTTCTCTGTGGTCTCCTTCTTTACTGGTGGCATGGATGGTGCTAGACTTGAATCACTGTAGTGCAAGCCTGTGGTGACCTGAAGGCAATAAGGGTCCTCCTCCTCCTCTGTCTCACTGCCACTGTTGCTGAAGTCCTCCAACTGGGCCAACTCCCCTTCAGATTCCACTTCAGGCACCCTTTCCTCTTCCTCCTCCTCCCCCTCATAGCCCTTGCCCAGGCTCTGGGGCACTGGCCCACAGCAGAAGACACTCTGAGCTACTTCTAGGAGCAGCTTAGCACAGTAAGAGCGTTCCCTAGGGCTGTCCAGTCGGTCACAAAATGTTCTCTGTGCCTCATGCAACCAAAGACGCACCATGTTGCGCATGGCCATCATAATCGTCAGGTGAGTGCCTCGCAAGCCTGACACCCGGCGCAAGTGCTCCCGGTGGTTGGGACAGTACAGAAAACCTCGGGAGCCCATTCTGGTTGGCAGTAGCTGAAGGCTGCCCAGTAGCTGGCTCACAGAGTGCAGGGAGAAGCGGTAGTGTGGGTGGAGAGGTGAAGGCATAAAGCAGTTGCCCACAGCCTCCCAGGCCTCCACTGAGGCCCAGACCAGGGCTCTTGCTAGAACCCCTTCCCGCTCCACAGAGGGGAAGCGCTCAAGCCAGGCCTGGATGCTAGGTGTGTGCCTGCTCAGCAGCATGGCCTGGGTCATGCTGCCCAGGGCCAGCACTGTGAAGAGTCGAAAGAGGCGTGGGCACAGCGGGCGCTCGCAGAAGCCTGGCACCGTGGCAGTGGCAAGGAAGTTGACTATAGGCTGCAGCGTCTGCAGTTCCAAGGTGCTGTGGGCATACATGGTGCCATCTATGGCCTGGCGCAGAGTCTCCAACACCGGCTGACAGCTCTTCTCTGGGTCTGTGGGACATGAAGTATAACAGTGAGGACATGTGTGAGTCCACATAACAGTGTCACCATGTGCCTCCTATCCCTGCCTACTAATATTGCATCAGTATTGTCTCTGGTGCAATACTGAATAGAAGCAGTGAGAGTGGACATTCTTGCCTAGTGACTGATCTTAGGGAAAAAGTGTTCAATATTTCACCATTAAGTATGTAATTAGCTGTAGGTTTTAATAGATGTCCTTCACTCTTTCTATTCCTAGGTAGCTGAGAGTTACCATGAATAGTGTTGAATTTTAATCAAATGCTTTTTCTTTATCTATTGAGGTGATCTTACACTTTTTCTTCTTTATTCTGTTAATGTTTTGAATTACACTGATGGATTTTTGAATGTTGAGTCAACTTTCCATTCCTGGGATATACTCCATTTGATGATAATGTATTGTTCTTTTATATGTTGCTGAATTTTATTTAATACTTCATTGAGGATTTATTTTTGCATTTATATTAATGAAAGAAAATGATCTATAATTTCTTTTCTTGAAATGTCTTTTCAGGGCTTGTTATTAAGGTTATGGTGGCCTCATAAAATGAGTCGGGAAGTGTTTACTCCATTTTCTGAAAAAGTGTAAGTTTCAATTTTTTCTTAAATATTGGATATACTTCAACTGTGTAACCATCTGGGACTGGGAATGTTTATTATTATGAATTCAAGTTTTTAATAGATATATAGGGCTATTCATTTTCTATTGTTTTTCTTCTTGAGTCAGGTTTTAATAAGTTGTGTTTTTCAAGGTATCTGTCCATTTCATCTAAGTTACTAAATGTACTAGCAAAGTTTTTCACAATGTTCCCTTGTTATCCTTTTTAACATCTTTAAGATAAAATTTCTTTCATTCCTGATATTGATAATTTATGTTTTCTCTTTTCATTTCTTGATTTGTGTAACTTGGGGATTAATTTTATTCATCTTTTTTCAAAGAACTAAATTTTGGCTTTGTTATTTTTTACTGTTTTTGTGTTTTTCTACCTCATTATTTCTGCTCTGATTTTTATTATTTATTTCCTTCTAATTACTTTGGGTTTAACTTGCTCTTCTTTTTCTAGATTCTTTTTTTTTTTTTTTTTTTGCTGAAGAAGATTGGCCCTGAGCTAACATCTATTGCAATCTTCCTCTTTTTGCTTGAGGAAGATTGTCGCTGAGCTAACATCTGTGCCAATCTTCCTCTACTTTGTATGTGGGACATCGCCTCTGCATAGCTTGATGAGCAGTGTGTAGATCCGCGCCCAGGATCCAAACCCACAAACTCCCTGGGCCGCCGAAGCGGAGCACGCAAACTTAAAGACTACGCCACCAGGCCGGCACTTTCTAGATTCTTAAGCTGAAAATTTAGATCACTGATTCTAAACCTTTCTTCTTTTCTGATATAGGCATTTAAAGCTGTAAACTTCTCTCTAAGCACTGCTTTAGCTACATGCCACAGATTTTCATATGTTTTTGTTTTTTGTTTTGTTTTGTTTTGTTTGTGAGGAAGATTGGCCCTGTGCTAATATCTGCTGCCAATCTTCCTCTTTTTCTTTTTTCTCTTCAAAGCCCCAGTACATAGTTGTGTATCATAGTTGTAGAGTTGTAGCTTTACTTTATCACCTAGTCTGATAATGTTGGCCTTTTATATGGACTGCTTAGTCCATTTACATTTAATGTAATTATTGATAGGGTTGGTTTAAAAAGTGCATATATTGTTATTTGTCTTCTATTTGTCTCTTCTATTGTTTACTCCTCTGTTGTAAGCTTATTTCCTGCTTTCTTTTACATAACTTAAATATTTTTATCCCATTGTATTTCCTTTATTGATTTTTTAGCTATACTCTTTGTTAAGTGATTTTTCTAGGGCTAACAATATGCCTCCTTAACTTATCAATACTTAGAAGTAATATTTTACACTTCATACTTCACACTTGACCTTTCCAACTTCCTGTTTCACATTTCACAAACATAAGAACCTTACAACAGTATAATTCCTTTTACCCATTGCTCCCCATCCTATCCTTTTACTATTGTTCCAATTTCTTTCTTACTTCTACCTACATTAGCAACTCCATCTGACATTATTATTTTTGTTTTAAACTATCAGCTGTATTTTAAGGAAATTAAGAGATGAAAAAGATATTTTTGTAAAGATACTCACATATTTACCATTTCTGATAGTCTTCATTCTTTTCCATAGATCTGAGTTTCCATATGGTATTATTTCCCTTCTGCCTGAAGAACATCTTTTAGCAGTTATTGTAGTGCAATTCTAGCTGCAGTGAACTTTCTCAGCTTTCAAGTATCTGAAATACCTTTGTTTCCTCCTCATTTATGAAGGCTATCTTTACTGGATGGAGAATTATGAGATGACAGATTTTGGTTCTTTTTTTGCCTTTTCTTACTTTAAAGATGTTGTTCCACTATCCTCTGGACTCTGTTGTTTCTGATGAGAAGTTAACCATTATTCTCAATGTTGTTCATCTACACATAATGTGTCTTACTTTTTCTCTAATCACTTTCAAAGTTTTTCTTTCTTTGATTTTCAGAAGTTTGACTATGATGTGCCTAGGTGTGGTTTTCTTTTTAATATTTTACTTGGTAATAACTGAGCTTTCTATATCTGAAAGTCAATATTTTCTAAGAAATTTGGGAAATTTTTAGTCAAAGAGTTTGGTCAAATATTTCCTCAAAGAGTTTTTCTGCCCTGTTCTCACTCTTCTTTCCTGCTGGAACTCCAATTATATACATGTTAGATTGAACCTCTATTCATATCTAATATTTTTCTTTCTTCAGGGTTCACTGACTCTTTCTTTTGCCATCTTGAATCTTCTATTAAGCCATGAAGTGAATTTTTCATTTCAGTTATTGTATTTTCCAGTTCTAAAATTTCCCTTCAGTTATTTTTAGTAGTTTACATTCTTTTGCTGAGATTACCCATATATTCACTCATTAAGATCATATTTTCCTTTAAGTACTTGAATACTTTTATAATAGCTGCTGTAAAGTATTTGTCTGCTAAATTTAACTTCTAGACCATCTCAGGGTCAGTTTTTATTGACTATTTTCTCTTAACAGTGGGTCACAGTTTTTTGTATTGTATGTCTATTAATTTTTTATTTTATGCTGGATGTTTTGATGACTATCATTCAGTGACAACTTTTACACTGCCAGCTATAATATACTTCATTCTACAACATTGCTTGCAATGTTTTCAACCTTCCTGTTGAAATCTCTTCTCAGTTGCCGTTCACAGATCTGAATTCACCCTTTCTATTATCTACTGACATCCTGATTATTTGTGCAAATTCACTGAGAAGGCCAAATAATGTAGTTAGAAAAAATTACAAGTTTTGGAGCAAACAGACTTGAATTTTAATCTTGGTTTGGACACTTACTGGCTAGAGTGTCTTCGGCATGTTATAAAATCTCTCAGTTTCTTCATCTTTAAAATAATCATAACAAATCTCCATGTTACTAGGATTCTATGAACACTAAAGATGACATAGATAAGGCATGTAGCACGTAGTGCTCAATAAATTGTACTACTACTATTAAGTACTTACACTACCTGGTTCAAATTTTCTACATCTCATAAGGGATTTCAGTGTCTAACTGAAATTATGGGCTTTAGCCCATTGACTTCCTTGACTCCAATAACCTGTACCTATACTTCATTTCTGGCTGGTCCAATGGCCGTATTCTGAACCTGACATTATCTGGAGGCACAGCATTTTAGAAACTTTAAAATTCAATATCCCACACTTTCATCACAATTTCTCCCCTTTCCTTTCTTATCTTTTCTTCTACGAACTGTTACTGGGCACTTACCTCCTGTTGAGTCTATCAAAACAAATGAGACAAATCTCTGTTCTCATGAAGATCAGAGTGTGATGGAAGGGCAGACAAGTAAACACACAATCAAAACCATGGTTGTCACAGATTTTTGTACAGAGCATGGGATGAGTATCTAACCTAGCCTGGCTTCTCCTCCAGGAGGCTCAGGCTTCCTGGAGGAGATATTGCCTGAGATTACTTGTAAAGAATAAGTAGGACTTAGCCAGATAAATAGAGGACAGAAGGCAGAGAGGACAGCAATCCCAGAGGCTAGAGGAAGCCTGACTTATTGGATGCCTGTACATAGTTGAGTCCAGTTAGAGCACAGAGTATAAGAGGTTACAGAAGAAAGCATCATACTTTGGCAAATGCTTTTGCCAAAGTTCCACGTAATGACTGTCTGAACCAGGGAAAGTGAAATGAAAATAAGTGGAGAGATTCGAGAGATATTTAGAAGGTATAATTGAGAGGCATAGTGACTGGACATTGGTGAGAGAGAAGATGTCAACAAGATTTCTGGCTTAAGTGACTGGATGCATGGTGGTACCAGTTACCAAGTGGATAGTAGCAGGTTTTGGGGGGAAGAGGATGAGTTCAGGGTTGCATCTGAGGTGTCAATGTGACAACAAGGTAGAGAAATACAGTAGGTAGTTGGAAAAACAGTTCTGGTGCTTAAAAGAGAAGCCTGGGTTGGGGATAAAGATTTAGCAGTCAAAGCATAGAGATGGTGGATGAGGCCATGAGAGGGCTAAGATTGTTCAGGGAGCATATGTAGAATGAGACGATATTAAGAATGGAACACTGAAATTTGGTCTATAGGTGTATATTTGAGAGTCAATGAATATTGATAGGGATTTTACAGTCTCAAGAGATGATAGTGACTTCTTTCTTCCCTCCTCCCAGCTCCTCACCAGAAGCGGCCAGGTGCAAATCCTCCAGGAGGAAGAGGAGGGAGCCTTTAGAATCCAGGTGCCGCCCGGGCCACAGACTGGCTTGTGCTTGGCCCTGGACCCCTCTGCTCAGTAGAAGGCGAAGGTGGTTGGTACTGAAGGCAGGGTGGATGGGGCTGTACATGTATGGGTGATGTGGCTCCACTAGCACCTCCACAAAGGTTGACTTCCCTGTTGCTGCTTCTCCAGCCAGCAGCACAGGGTGTCCCTCTGACAGAAGCAGGTCCACCACATACAAGAGCCGTTCGGTCTGCAGGAGAGGAGCAGGGCTTACTGTGGCAGCTCCAGTTAGGACAGTAATCTAGCTGAAAGTAAAGGTCTAGGGGTCTGTCTTAAAGCTGTACTTGCAGAACTCTTCATGTATTCTTGCCATTGTGAAAACATATCAAAGAATGGGAGCAGGTAGGCCTCAGCTGAGCCTAGAACATGGACTCCTCCAGGATGTCTCCTTGAGCCCCAAGCCCAGCCACTGCTCTACTGTCCTCTCACCTGGGGAGAAGGGTTGAAGGTGCCTGGAATTCCCTTGACGCGGCTCCCCAGGTATTGACCAGTGAAAGGGACCAGTGTCCCGTCTTCAGGGCATACATGTAGATCGAACACCAAGGCTGAGGGTGGTGGCTCAGGGTAGTTGCAGAGGCAACTAATAGAATCCCTTATGAAGGTGTCAAAGAGGGGCCAGAGCCTGCTCAGATGGATACACAGGCAAAAGTGTCAGACAGTTATAACAGTTCCATTTGTGACACCCTCACACACTCCACCCTCCCCTGACAGTGTTGTCACCTGGGTTTTGACTCCCATGGGCCAGTCCATCTCAGCCCTCTGCAACCCCCACACTCCACCCCTGTAGATACCTGGAAGGAAGGTGGGCTCCAAAGCCCCAGATCAAGGCAAAGAGAAAGCTGCTGACAGCCAGCAGGTGTTCCCTGCGCTTATTAGGCACATCATCGCTGTCAATCCGGGACCGGTTCAGAGAGCTGCTTTTTGAGGATTTGAAGCTTTGGGCCATAGGATCACTACAGCTGAGGTCCTCTGCAAAGGTCACCGTGGCCAAAATAGGAGCCCCATAGGAAAAATCGGGGGGTAGGGGAGGAGAGTGGAGGTTGGCTCTATCACTTTCAGTCCCCAGGCCCAAACCCACCCAAGAACCCACACTCCTGGCTCCAGCTATATCTCAAGGCCCCATATCTCTCAAACCAGCCTTTCCCTTTCCCTTCCCTTCACCTGGAACACGTGCCTTCTCCTCCTCATCTATGTGCAGGTGGGGGTCAAGGAGACAACGCAAAATGCGGGCCAGGCTGGTAACTTCAGCCACGCCTGGGCAAAGAGCCTGCTGCCCATGTACCTGCAGCAGAGAGCTGGCACCCTGGTGGGCGAGGAATCGGAATGTTGCAGGCACCAGCACTTCAGCCAGGCGGTTGAGCTCGGTGACTGTCTGGAGCTGCAGGCGGTACTCATGGGGCAGGGCTGCCATCAGGACGCTAAGCATACCCTGCCAAGTCTGCTCCCCACCACACCAGACTAGGGCACAACGGCCCACCACTGTCGGGGACATGCCTGTTGCGTCTCCCACCTCCATCAAAAGAAAAGTATCTGGGGGTCGTGTTATTTGCTGACCATTGGGGAGGCAAAGCAGGGGCGGGTCGCCCAGGAGGCAAGTGATGGAGTCCAGCCAAGCAGCACTGGAGGCCCCATCACATATTATCCAGTGCTGGGTCCCCACCGATTCCTGTGCCTGCCCCTGTGGGCCCACAGCCTTACTCTGACTGGCTGCACGAAGCAGCCTGGGGAAGACGCCATGGTGCCAGCAGGATCCCTCTAGCCATCCCAGGAACTCCTGGGGGCTGAGGACACTGGGATACAGGTGAGTAATTTCCACAGGCTGGTAGCCTTGGGTCGAGGCATCCTCCATGGCTGCCAGCCGATTCTGGATCTTAAATAAGCTATGCCAACAAGTGGTCTTGCCGCTGCCTGCAGGGCCCAGGAGCAAAATGCCTGAGGCCCGGCCCAAGGCCTGGCTCAGCTGCTCCAGGGACCCCAAAATATCAAGGCTGGGATGCAGGCCTACCTGCTGCACTTCCTCCACCAGCAGTGGCTTCCTCAGCCTGTGGGTCATAGGCTCTGCCAGCACCTGGCTGGCACTAGGGAAGAGCCCACAGAGCAGCTCTTGGAGGTTGTGCAGGTGGACCCCATCGAGGATGCTGAACGGTGGTGAGCGTAGCAGGGCACGCAGTAGGGCAGCCTCCTCAATGGCAGCTAGGTTGTGGGGCTGCTGAGACTTGGGTTCCTCCTTGGTCATGTTTAGAGCCTGTATCATGTCCTCTAGTACCTGTTTGAGCAGTGGCAAGCGGCAGGGCAGGGACCCAGGCACCAGCTCACACTCTAGGGAGAAGAATTTGGATAGGCGGGTAGCCATGCGGGAGGCATCCCGCATCCCCGCACCCAGCAGGGTCAGCTCTGCTACTTGCTGCAAGTCAGGCAGTGTCAGTGCCACAGGCCGCAGCAGTAGGTGCAGGTTAGCAGGCACAGCAGGGCTCAGGGCACGCAGTGTCAAGAGACAGCCATAGCCAAGGCGCATGAACACGTGACGTTTCTCAAAGAAGCCACTGCCAAGGAGTTGGGAGTGGGTGGGGTCCATAATGCTGGTGCTTCGGGAAGCTTCCTGGTACAGTGGGGCATAGAGGTGGTGAAGTTCAGTCAGGCGCTGGCCCAGGGCAGAGAGCAAGCCAAGCGGCAGGTGCTGGGCTGCCTTCAACAGCAGCCAGGCACCACCCTGCAGGGCACCGTTCAGGTAGTTGCTCAGGCTTTGGGCCTCTATCTGGGGCAAGCAGGGCATCACCACCAGCTGGCGCCCCATGGCCTGTGCCAGGCTCTGCACTATGGCTGCCTTGCCCACACCATCAGGGCCCAGTAGAGTCCCACACGCCACCTCCTCCAGGGCCAATAACAGCACCAGAGCTGGCCGCTCAGGCAGCAGGCTGGGTAGAGACCCCAGTCTCGGACCCAGGTATTCATAATTGTACAGGAATGACCGGCCCAGCACATCTATCCAGCATGCAGCTGGTGACAGAGAAGTCTCAGCAGACGCAATCGTCTTGAGACTCTGCAGGGGGCTCTGGGGGACGACGTGAGGTGAACCCAGGTGGTACTTGAGTTGGCGGGCCCAGTGAAAGTCTGTCAGATCACTGACCTGGTGCTCCTGAAGCAGCTGTGCTATATCCCGGTGAGTCACTGCCATGACCAGCAGGGCACTGAGCAGGCTGGTCTGGCGGACAGAGGGCAGGGGCTGCCCACCCTGGGAGGCCCTCTGGGCCTGTAAAAAATGCACCAGTACCTCAAGCTTGTGCACATTCATGGGGACCATGGCTAGGGTCCTCCCCTCAAGCAGAGCCTCCTCCATCTCGGCCCGCCATACCACCTCCTCTGCCACCAGCACACACTGCCATGGGAAGGCCTGGACTAAATCCAGCCAGTGGTGGACATATGGGTGCAGGGACAACTGGCTTTGCAGAGGCAGCTGCTTGAAGGCCTTGTCTAGGGATGGGCCCAGAGCAAGATGGGCAGCCACACAGTCCTGCAGCATGTGCACCAGTGCCAAATGCAGACACTTCTCCAGAGATGCCAGCCATTTGGGGAGATCTGGATGCAGAGGAAGGGGCCCCTGCAGCTTCACCTCCTCCCCACCTGCCCCTAGAACTGCAAGCGCCTCCACCTGAGTCTGTGTGCTTGGGCTTGACTCCCAGTCATCCATCATGTTTTTATCAGTTGTGCTGGACTTGAAGCTCACAGCATGCACGTGAGGAAAGCAGCGTCGTACCCATAGCTGGGCCTCACATGACTCCAGCGGGGCAGCCAGCAGGGCCACCAGCTCACTGTCACTGAGAAAGAAGAGGCGGGGGAAGTGAGCACGCACCCCATAGAGCACGCTCTCCAGAGCCATAATCATGCCCTCCAGCTCCACTGAGCCTTTCTGCAGCAGCTGTTGCAGCTGCTGGCCTTGGAAATGAGGGCTCCGCTTGGCACTGGGCACTATAAGCGACAGAACCAGGGGGTCAGCTACAGAGATCTGCATCAGGGTCCGATACTGATCATCTATGGCCTTGAAGCGGGAGTTCTGTGGTGAGGGAAAGGGTAAAAGTGAGGGCAGACGTGAAGGGGTAGCTCCCCCTTCCCACCCTGAGCCCCACTCTTCAGTAGCCCTTGCCCACACTGCCTCACCCCACTTCCCTACCAGGTCCGAACTAGGAAACTGGATCTTCATCTCATACAGAACTTTACTCAGAAAAATCCACTTCTGCTGGAAAGTCACCCACACTTCCATCAGGGCACCTGTGTGAGCAGCCAGAGGAAAGGAACACTGGAGGGAGATTAGGGTTCTAGCTTCTGTAAGAGGGTCCAGCCTGCTCCTAACCTCTCAGGGTGCCCCACCCCAAAATACTCTGCTCAGCAGGACTCAGGGACCTTGCCTAGAGGAGAGAAAACTTTCACTGTAAATAAAGTCCTGGTCACCTCACCCCAAGATGCAGCCCTCAAGAAGGTACTCATTGTGTCCTTCAGATCTTCCCCACCCAAACCCCACCTCTCACCCTATCCCTCTGGGCCATCCTGCTTCAGGGCCCGCCCATCAGCCCAGCAAGAGGCCTGTACTCACCCAGGCTGTGCATGATGGTCACCCACTCCAAAGCTCTTTTGTATAAGTCTCCTGACTTTTGGGTGGCCAGGATCTTGAACAATACCTGAAGACTTTCCTGGATAGAATCCTGCAGGCTGCTGCAATCTAAGGAAGAGTGGGCTCCAGCTGAGCTGAGCTGAGCTGGCAGTCAGATGGGGCAAGGACACAGGTGACCAAGACCTAAAATACACTGAACCTCACAGATCTCAAGCTATTCTCTAGAAGACCCAAACGGTTTTTCTTTCATTAGTTGAACTGTACGCTTACCAAGAATCAGAGGGTGTTTACAAACCTGTTTATATGACTTATAATTTTAATTACAGAATTTAATCTAATAGTACATTAACCAATGAAATATGGGTGCGAAAAGAGTTGCTGGTTCTATAGGAACTATGGAAGGCTTTAGTAAAGGTGAGTTGATAAAAACATGATATTAAATTAGGTATAGGCAAGTCAGTTTTTAAAAACCAGGAAATTATAACAAAAATCCAGAAAAGTTCTGGACTCAGGTAACTTCACAATTGTCTTCATGTCACCACTCAACTTTACAGAAACCGAAAGTTCAAACAGTAGACAATGCATTAATGCAAGAAAGGCAGTGAGGAACTTCTATCAGTTGACTGCAAATCAAAGAAAAGCTCTCGTCCTTAGGTTAAAAGGTTAGTAAATAAATGTACATTTATATGTTTTATGCTAAAATAAAAATCTTAAGCCATGTATGCATCCTATTTTATGATTTTCCTATTTAACTAACTTTTTAAATTCGCCAGTTAGGTTTCAATTGTGTTGGGTGAGAGAATTTCTCTACTGGCAATTCCCTAGCTACACCATCTTGGGTGTCTGTACATATGCTGTTCCCTCTGCCTGGCATGCTCTTCTCCCTTGCAGGTTTGGCAAACTCCTGCTCCTTCAGAACTCAGCATGAGACCTTTGCCTATGGGAAGGGAAGATTTCTCTGACTCTCCTGGTCCTTTGAAGCTGGTCCTCTTTCAGAGATTCCACTGTCCTCATTAGGTGCTCCATCATGTATTTATCTCTGTTCAACTGTCTCTCTCTCACTGGATTGGGAGCTCCCAAGGGACAGGACTTCTGTTTATAAATCTCAGGGTCCCCTGTGTTTGGCTCAGAGGAGCAGGTGAATTTGTTGAGGGAATAAAAAAGGAATGAATGAGTGGGGCAAAAGATCAAACAGCAGGGTGTAATCTAGAGGACAGAGCATTGAAAGGTGGAGAGATATGACCATAAGGAATTTCTTAGCACACCTAGAAAGGAAAGGACCTCTGCTGAAGAGGCCAGGCATTGGGCGGGAGCAGAGGGACTCCCAAGATTAAGACTGTACAGGAGCTACATGAATACACTATCTCAGAACAGACTGATGTCTCAGGCTGTAGAGTAAGGATGGGGCCCTGGCTAGGGAAGTCAGATCTGGCAGGGCTTGGTGGATATGGTGGATGAATATGGTCCCCCCGCAGGGGGCTTTCACTGGTATACAAGGGCTGGGTCTCACCTGAAAGGATGAAGGTGCCACTATCCTTGTCCACCACTTCCCAGTGGGGGCTGCGGAGTGTTTGCCTCTTGGAGCGCTCTGAGGCTGGGGGGTGGTAGGGCACATGCAGGATGAAGTTGAGCAGTCGCAGCTGGCGCATTTCCCAGACCCGCTGCAGCCGCTGTAGGGTCTCTTGGGCATGAATTCGTTCGTTTTCACACTGCCAGATCTGCAACAGCTAGGTCTTAGGAACCAGGACTGGGTAATGGCTCAGGGGATAGCCTTGGAGCCGGGACTTAAAGGCCAGGGCTCAGGGGAGTGGAGGTCTCAGAGATAGACTGGGACTATCGGACTTCAAAGATAGGCCATCAGCAGCATACTTTGACCTAGGGCTGCTGCCTTGAAAGCCACTCTTTTGCAACGCTCTAGCTGAGCAGACAGTGTCTCCATCAGCTCGTGCTCTTTTGGGACAGGGTAAGTGTTGGGGGACATCTGCCATCCTGTGTGCCCCCAACTTCAGGGTGGCCACCCACTTCCTTCCCCTGGTGGGGGCATACTCTCAATCACACAGAATCTGAAACCACCCATCAGATCCCCATACCCTCTAGGCAGGCCAGCAATCTCAACCACCCACCCACAAGCCAATATCTACTGCCCTCTTGTCTCAAGGGGCTGCTGGGCCTTAACTGGCTCTACTAGAGTTTAGCAAACAGGTCCTAGGCTGGACCACTTCCATCCCTCCAGTGGGCCCCACCTGATTGATTCGATCTGAAAACTCCAGCAGTGGACAATTCAGCAGCTGGCCCAGTGTTAGGAGTTCTATGTTGTGGAGACTGCCCAGCCCTAAGGCTGGAGGTAGAAGGGACAAGTCAGAGCAACATCCAGTATACGGCAGAGTCCAGCCCCTATCCCAGAGCCCAGAGCAGGACCCAGAGCCCAGCCCAGCTCCCAGATGTCAGATCTCAAAGTTCAACATAGAGCCAAGAGCCCAGAACCTAAGGTCCAGAGCACAGTGCAGAGCCCAGCCCAGGTCAGCAGAGAGGACCCATATGGTAGTGTGGGAATCTAGAAATGTTTTTCCCTGTGGAGGAAAAGGGGTTATAAATACATGGGGGAAGGCAGAGAGCAACCCAGGGAGGAAAAATGTTTTCAACAGGAGTAGCAGGGAACTGAGCTGTCACATTGTTCTAATCCCTGTCTTTCCTTTCCCCTCCCTTCTGACTCTACCCAAACACACCTTGCAGGAGGGCTTGGAAGTTGAGGTTCTGTAGCTGGAGGCTGCCCAGCTTGGTAAGCAATGGCAGATAGCTGCGAAACTCCTCCAGCATGCGCATGCAGCGCTGCAGAACCGGGCTGTGCAGGCCCAGGGTTGCACTCATCCGGGCCGCCTCTGTCAGCCAACCATCTGTCTTCTCCTGGGCCATAGCCAGGCTGAACTGTAGGGAGAAGGGTTCATTGTCAGCTGGAGACCCTTCCCACCCCCATCCCCCAGAGACTCTCCACTCCCAGGCAGGAGCTCCAAGGAAGGGTGTCAGCACCTTGGCAAAAGCCATGCACTTCCATTCGCTGATGTTTTCAGAGATGACCCGGTACAGGTGCCAGACGCGCTGCTGCTGCACAATAGGATGGGTCCCACAGGTTGGCAAGGGCACAGGCCTCTCATCCCCTGTGGGACAGGGCTGGGTGAGGCCTGGGCTATGTGTGCGGGTCGGGGGCTTGATGGGAATGGTCAGTCAAGAACCCATAATGACAGAAGAGGGGGTCCTGAAAGTGCCAAGGTCGGGGGAGTCTAAAATTGTTCAATACAACAATGGAGTGAAGACAACCCAAGGGGCAGTTATTCTAAAGAAAGAAAATCTGGGAAAATGTGATGGTAGTGAAAGGGAAGGGTTCTTTTCTGCTAGTCTCCATTTCACTCATTCTACTCTAGCCACACCAGACTCTTCACTGTTGCTCAGACACACCAGGCATGCACCCTCCTGCTGAGGGCCTTTGACTGGCAGTTCATTCTTTCTGGAACATTCTTCCTTCAGAGAACCATATGGCTCACTCCCTCACCAAATTCAAGTCCTTACTGAAACATTATCTTCTTAATGAGCCTATGCAGCCCACTCTATTAAAAACTGCTATCTACACTCCCTGGCATTCTTGACCCCTCCTATCCTGCTCTGTTTTTTCTTTTCTATACCACTTATCACTTTCTCACATGCTCCATAATTTGCTTATATTGTATGTTTAGTATTTGTTGTCTTTCTTTCCCAACTAGAATGTTGGGTCCACGGGGGGAGGGGTTTGTCATTTGTTCATTGATACACCTCAAGTCTGGTGTGCCGTAAGCACTCAACAAATACATGTTGGACAGATAAGTTCAGGGAGATGCACATAAAAAAAGATCCGGCCCACAGGGAGGAATATCAGGGGTACATGGTGATGCCTCCTGTTGTGTTTGCCTCTGGCCATTATTCCCTCCCTTTATCTCATAAGCGACTGCATTAGTTCTTAACCAATAATTTATATTCAGTTGTGAGATATGTGTCAAAAGTAATTTGCGATTAATAATAATTATAATACTGAGGCTTTCAATTTACTTAAAAGACATTAGACCAGATTCAAGGATATTGCAATGAAACTGTCATTCTCATTCACTTGAATTCCAGTATATTTTCTTGAGTGAGAGAAAAAGTGATGAAGTTACACCCAAATGCTGGGAATCATGGATCTTACATGTATAAGCATTATCCATCATGGAGATCTCAGAATATTAAAAGACTGAGAATCATTAGGCGATCAGAGCTCTGATCTGACAAAAAAAAAATGACAGTAAATCTGAACCCTTCCAATCTTCCTTTGTCTGAACTCAAAAGATCCAGCTAGAGACCTATGTCTTTGATAGCAGTTATCTCAACATGAAATACTGGACAAGTAAAGAACTTTCTCTGTAAGAAGGAGCAGACATAATACCTCCAGATGCATGAGCAGATAAAGACAAACTTGAGGATAAATGTCCTCTGGACATTTGCTGTGGTATCTCTTCAGTAAATTCCACTGCATTTTAAAACTTTTTATTTGGAAATGATTTCAAATTTTTTAAAGCTGCAAGAAAAAATAGTAAAAAGAATACCTGTATACCTTTTATCTAGATTCACCTTTTTTAACATTTCACCCATTTTCTTTATCATTTGTGTTTACATGCTCTGTGTATGGGTATGCGTATACACACACAAACACATAATTCTTTTCTGAACTATTTAAGGGTAAGTTACATATATCACAGCCTTTTACGCCCAAATACTCAAGTGTGTATTTCCTAAGAACAGGGATATTATATTCTATAATTACAGTATAATTATCAACTTCATATACAGGCATGCATAGCTTAACAATAGAGATACGTTCTGAGAAATGTGTCATTAGGAGATATCATCATTGTGTGAACATCATACAGTGTACTTACACAAGCCTAGATGGTATAGCCTACTACACACCTTCTGTATCCTTGTGACAAGCTCCCATAACTTTTTCAAAGAATTTAACACTTCCTTACTTTCTGGCTTAAAAAGATATTCCAGGCTCATCTTGTGTCTACCCTGCCACAGTCCTGGAATCATCCATCCTCTGAGGAGCCCTGGTTCCTTTTAGTGGGAAATGGTATTAGAAACTAAGATCTGGGCACCATGTGGCTCCTTGCTATTGGAGTATTTTTGTTTCTTGGCCTCTTCAGTAGATGGAGCTAGGAAATATATTCATGTATATATACACATATATATACACTTATATACATATACATGTGCACATAAGCATCTACACAACAATATGTGTGTGTGTTTGAAAATGCAGTGGAAATTACGGAGTAGATACCACAGAAAATGGAAATTTATAAGACAAGCTCACAATATTTCCCCAGAACTCAGAAAAAAAGAATAAAGGAATGAGTGATGATGAAGAAGATAAAAGAAATGGAGGAAAGATCCAGAAAATCGAATATACAAATAAGAATTCTGGAAGGAGACCAGAGCAAATATAAAATCCATTATCAAACAATCAATAAATAGATTACCTACAAAGGAAAAAAATCAGATTGATATCAGATTTGTCCACAATTATAAATGTCAGAAAACAATGATGCAATATCTTAGTTTGGGGAAAAAAATTTTGTGACTTCAGAATTCAATATTTAGCCAAGCTGTGATATAAGTACATTATAAAGTCATCTCAGCATAAGGAGCTTAGAAATTTTAACACCTCTAACTCACTTAGGAAAAGAAATACTCAAAGAAATATCGCAGCCATCCAAGGAAAGAATGAAAATAATGAAAAGATGTGGTATTTTAAAGAATGGTAGGTGGGTAAACCAACCAAGGAAATCTTAGATGTCAGAATAGTTGTTAACATAGTTATAAAACAAAGCAAATGTCAAAAGTAATGAGTAAAATAAAAGATATAGAATGGAAAATAAAGAGTAGTATTAATAACCTGGATCTAAGATCCTGGATTATTTTAACAAAAACTGGGAGTTTGGTGAGGAGACAGGGATGGAGGAAGGAAGTAAAAGCAACGCTTGGGGTTTCCTGGGCCTAGCATCACAAGGCCTACGTCCCCTGCTCTGCTTTTCACAAACACCCCCATCCCTAGCAGGAAAGGTCAAGGTCTGTGGTCTATGTCAAGCAGAGTACGGGATGAGTGTCCCCTAATACTTGGCCAAAGAAAAAGTCCCTTGCAGAGCGTCCTCCACCTCCCATTTGGCCAAATGGCCCCAGGACTGGAGATGTCCACAGGCAGAGAAGTTAATAGTTGGTAGTTGGCCAAGAGGCAACTCAGAAGCAATGTGTCCTACCCAGGGATAGAAGTGACTGCTAGAAGTGACTTCATCTGAGAAAAGAAACTTGGGCCCATAAAGTTCTTTACGTGCAGAAGGGAACCCGCCTAGTTGCACCACTGTACGGGGATCCTCAGTACCAGTGAAGGTAACATAGGCATGGTGCAGTTCACTGAGGTGGCTGGCTGTGTTCTGGAACTGACGCTCCAGGGAGATGAGCTGGAGCTCAGTGCTCCTCTGCTCTTGCGCAGGGTCCATGAAGGGACCGGACAGGGCCTTCTCAATCAGGCCTTCCAGCTCTGCCAGTGCTGCCGCCATCAGCTGCTGCAGCTTGGGCACAATGGCATGTTGCTTGCTGAGTAGGAACTCTGAGGCCTGGCTTTTCTCAAACTGAAATGCCTCCCACGCATCCAGAAGCTGCAGGGCAAGCAGAGGGCAGTCAAGGAGATGTGGTTGTGGGGGAAGGGGGACTGGGAGGGATGGGAGACTCCCTGAATTGCCTTCTCACCGAGATGTCCAGCGCCTCGTTCTCTGCATTAAAGAGGCTAAAGTGGTTGCGGATGAGTTCATGGAGTGACCGTATGTATTCCAGTCGCTCTTCCAGCTTGGTGTACTGCTTATTGGCCTCGTTCAACTGCAGGAGCTACAGCATGAGACCAGCACCCCCACAACCCTGCGCACCAGTTTGGGCCCATCCCTGAGGGGCACCCCCACCTTCTGGAGGCTCCAAACCCCAGCAGCTGCCTTTTAACCAACTGGGTCCAGGGACAATCTGCAATCAGATCCCCATCTGACCTATGTCTTTGTGATGACAGCACAGTTCCTCCCCCACCAAGTCATTACCCTGATGACGGGGCAACAGATCCCTATCTGACTGACACAGAGAGCAGAACTATGTGTCTCTCTTCACACCAGGGCCTCCTGCTGCCATGAGAAAACTGAGGGCCATGTGAACAGGGCGAGAATTAGCAAGTGCAGATCACGTATGCGAGCAGTTTAAGAGCATCAAGGCCCATGGGGAGCTCGGCTGAGACCTGAAGAGAGTGTGCTGAGCATTTGAGCAGGATGGGCCCTGGATAAGCCGGGAAGGAAGGATGGGGAGAGCCCACCTTCTGGGAGCACTGTGCGATGGTGTGAATGTCTGAGTTGATGCTTTGGAAGACCTCTACAAAACCCGTGAGCTCCATCATCAGCTGTTGACTACGGCTCCAGCACTCATGCTGCACCTGTGCAAGAATGTCCTTCTTGATGCTCTCCAGCTTGGACTCTGAAGACAGGAGAGAGTTAGGTGTCAGGGGGTGCACAAAAAAAGAAGGGGTGCTAGGCGAGCGCTGTGGGTCCAGAGTGGGAGAAGTTTAAAGGGGAAGCCAGACCATGAATTCATTCCTTCACTCATTGAACACTTACAGGACCTCTGCTCACTGTCCAGTCAGCTGCTCTACACTGGGGCCTGTGCTGGGCACCAGCAGACAAGAGTGAGTGAGACAGAAAGTGTTCCCACCCTCAGAAGCTCACGATGCAGTGGCAGAGACAGACAATAAATGGACAATCACAAACCAGTGTGATAAATGCTCTGCAAGTACCCAGGAGCCCTCAATCAGGCACAGTGAAGGGAAAGGAGGCCCAACGAGGCTGGGAAAGGCCTCCTCAGAGATGGGGACACTGAGGTTGAATGTATTGGGTAGTTAATGCTCCAAGGGGCAAAGGCACGCCAAGTAGATGAAATAGCATGTGCAAAGGCCCTGGAGTGACGTGTTCGTGAATAGCAGAATGCCCCATCAGAGATGAAAGTTTTCTCTTTGGGGAGTCTTACTGCCTCTGCTCTCCTAGAAGAGGTACCAAGAAGAGTGTTAAATCTGCCTTTTGTTTTTAAGGATTAAAGGATATGGGGCTAGAAGATAATCTTGGAAGCTGCCTTTGGTGATACGAACACTCCATTGTCTCTGAGGGCAGGAATAATACCAATATAATACCTCATCAAATCTAAGATACTACTGACTGTAAGAAGCACCATTATTTTATAAACCATGAAAAATGAAAAAAACGATGCCATATAAACTCTCACGTCGTCAATCATAATACGCCTCTTAAGTTCAAAGATGTTAAAATATGCACAGAACAGCAAAACACAACATAGAAATACAATATGCAGTATACCACAAAATACAGTATAGAGTGCTTACTATGTGCCAGACACAAAGTCAACTACTTTACCTGTATTAACCCACTTAATAGTCACAAAAACCCTTTGCAGTAGATACTACTATTGTCCCTATTTTATAGATAAGCAAACTGAGGCTCAGAGAGGTAAAGTAATTTTATCAACATCACACAGTGGCAGAGCAAGGATTCAAACTCAGGTAGCCTGGCTCCACTCTGTTATATTTTATGTTTTGAGGGTGAAAAGTAAGTTGACTTATCCCTTACGAGCATCTCTGCAACTGGAAAGTGGGATCGTGACTTCCAGGGGCAGAGAATTGAGATATACTGGGTATGGCACTTTTGGAGCCTTGGAGGAAGTAACCAAGAGGACTGAGCACCAAGAGCTGAGACTGAGAAAACCAAGAGGGAAGGAACCTATCAAAGGGCACCCAAGGTTGAACAGAACACAAGGATGTGTACTCATCCTTTTTCAAACTACCCCTCTGGCCTATGACAGTAGCTAGGCCGTTGCAATGGTGCCACTTTTGGACCAGCAGCATCAGGCAGGCGAAGGCAGAGAGGGGCTCAACAGCGACACCGTATGGCATAAAGAAGTGACAGATTCATAAAATACCAGGGCTGCTGGAGATGGATGGGAAAACAGATTTGAGAGATATTTAGGAGGCAGAAGAATGGGAAGCATTTGGTGACAGGTTGTGTCACTGACTAGGTAACTTGAGAAACTCAAAGGTGGGTTTGGAAGCAATTAACTGTTTTTCCAAGTTGTTTCTTTTCCTTTTGTGTGTTAAGGAGCTGTAACCAACAGCCATCCTGAAACTGACCAAGCCTCACCACAAGAGCTATGCCCATGACCTTTGCCTTATTTTTAATGCAAAGATCTCTCCAGGAGGAGCTTAGGCCTCATTATGTGGAAGCATGTTCTCCAAGTGAGCCTGTGCAAGCGAATACCCACCTCTCCCTTTTGAATATTCATTCCCCAACCGAAATATAAGTTCCTGCTTCCCTTTCGGAAATATAAGTTCCTGCTTCCCTTTGTTCGGAGACACCATGACTCTGGAAATGATTCCTCATGGCCTCCTATTTGCTGCAAATACACTTTACTTTGTGAGAAAACTTTCACTGATATAGAGTCTTATTTAATTCCCCAGGAGGTGAGCCCACTTGGTTCAGTAACAGTTGGATGTGGTGCAGTTAGGAAGAGGGAAGAGTAAAGGATAAATCCAGGTTTCTGGTGAGGACAACTCACCAGAGTGGATAATTATGTCGTGTGCTGTTCAAGAGAGCCCAGGTAGAAGAGGAACAAAGTTGGAGAATAAGAAGATAAAATTAGATCAGCAAGAAGGATGAGAGCAGACAGAAGGGGATAAGGTGAAATGAAAAAAATTAAGCACCTACTGCATGCCATATTCAATGCTCGGAGTATTACAAATAATATCTCATTTAACCCTCCTTGCCAAGACCCTTTGAGTGACTGCATTATCATGTCCATGTTACAAATAAAGAAAGTGAAGCTCAGGGATCTGCAGTGGCACAAGCCAGTGAAAAACAGCCAGGATTCTGAACCTGTGCTTTTCTCTCTGTTCCTCTTGAAGAGGCCAGTTGATCCTGGACTAAGGGTCAAGAAGCTAACAAACCAGAAAAAACACGGACTTCTCGCAACAGTGGAGGAAAGCCTGCCCAAAATAGTGTCAGAAAGAAAGCAGGCTAATCACGGGCCCTCCCTGTTCCTGCCCTGCCAGCCTGAGCCCCCTGTACATTTAGGAGGGGAAGGGAAAAAGCGGGGAGTTTTTGTGGCTTATGAGATGCCTCACGAGGCATGTGCTCTCATCTGCTGAGGAGCAGAAGCGGGGAGGGCTAGGCAGGCAAGCATTTTCAAGCAAATTCTTTCAGGCTCCCGCTCCAAGAGCTCCCACCTTCATAAAGAAAGCAGGCCTGGGGGCCATGGATCTGAATACTACCCAGTCTCTGCAGAAAGTGGACACTATTGGTTACTGCCATCCTTGGGAGTTAGGTGAGAAAACAGAACAACCTCCCTATTTCCTAGAACAACAAATCACTGGCTTCCCAATCCACCCCACTGTGAGCCTCTCCAAGGCCAGCTCCTGGGCAGAGGCACTTAGCTAGTAGACAATAGCATTTCTCCCAGGGGATGGGAGAAAGAGAAAAGAGGAACAAGGCTAGGTCTTACACCAGATTTCTCAGAGACCCAGGGAGATCAACAATCGGGCCTTGGCCTTATGGGCATAGGCAGTGGCAAGAGGAGAGAAACTGAGATGCATGGAGGAGGCAGCAGACAGCAGAGTGGACTTAGCTCCACTTTCCATGTGGAACTCTGGAAGGCATCCCCCTGCAGGGTTCCCTTATGCTCACATGACACGAGATAGTCACAGCAGAGTAGAAATCATGGTGTCATGTGTTGTGACAGAAAGAGGGCCAAACAAACCTTCCCAAGTTCCCCACAGCTCCCAAATCACAGGAGATACAGAAGACAGTGGTGAGTTGATAGCCAGTGGGCCTGATTAGGTTCCTGTGTTGAGAGGCAAGTGACCTTGCAGCAGAAGCTATGGGGGTGGCCAGCTTAAGACAAAGACTAGGTGAAGGGTTCACTAAGACCCCAAGGATCTACAATGCCAGCAGGAGCCCATGCAGGGCCGAGTCAGCAAAGGCAGACACTCTGGGCTCCTATGAGCCAAGAGCACACACCCCAGTTATACCAGCTCAGGACACAGAGGCAGCGATGTCAGAAGGGGGGCAGGGACCAGGTAGGGATGCATTACACCTCAGCAAAGGTCACAGAAGCCAGCAGAGACGAGCACACAGCCCAGAGCCCTCTCCAATGCCAGATGCACCTTGGGGAGGAAAAGGAACAGAGGATACTTGAGAATAAAAACAACCCAGAACTGTAGTATTAATTTTGAATTGACCAAACACCCAAAATAGGCTGAATTAGAGCAAAAGTGCTGCTTTAAATGAAAAGTGCTTTCACTTTCAATTGGAATGTATTCTTTCACCATCAGCAGAAGTTAGGACTACAGAGTAGGACAAGATCAGTTAAAGAGAGTAACTTTTTACAGGTGCAAACTGTAGTGTCAGTTTTGACTCTGCTACACGTGGGGAGGAGGCCCCCTTGATTCCTGAGAGTCTCTGTAAAGAAACTGAGCTCACTAGCCTAAGGAGCAGGCTAAGATTTTTCTCAGTCTCATTTGGTTTGAACTACTTCCAGGCCATAAGAACAGAAAGTGTCAGGTGACAGGTACACGATTCCTAAGGAGAAAGGGGAATGAGCAGAGCCAAAACAGATGGAGAGGCTGTCCTCGGTAAGGATCACATCTTTCATTGCAAAGAGAAAGGGCCGGGACCTGGGGCTTTGCGAGGCTCCATGGGTCCAATGAGAGGCCTGCACCAAAGGTCCTTGGAAGACACTCCAGGCTCAAGGAGGGCCATGTGGATAAAATAAGGAAGGCGGAAGGAAAGGAGGGTGCATAAGCAGCACTCACCCAGCTCTGCCTGTATGGCACGGCAGCTCAGCAGCAGCAACCTGCCTTTTGTGATCAACTCCGCAGGTATACTGGAGACACGGGCCTGCCAAACGTTCAGGCAGCTCACCAGCGTCACGTAGTTCTTGATAGGACAACCTCTCATAGACTCCAGCTTCTGAGGCCCCCAGGCTTGCAGGAACTCATAAATGCCTGTCATCCAGTGATGTTCCTTGCAGAATTCCTGTACCTCCCACAGCATGCCCTAGGGGCAGACAAGGTGCTTAGGACAGAAGTGCGTGGCTATGGTGGGAATTGGTGGACATGATCCTACTCATTAAACCTCTGTTCTCACCTCCAGCAGGGCCTGTTGTATAGTCAGTGCCTGCTGGATTTGAGGGTTGTTGTCCAGGTCTTCTTGCAGCTGCTTATAATTGGGGGGCAAGTACTGGCCTCGCAGCCGGTACCCACGGACCTCCAGGGCTTCGGTAATTATACGAGACTTCCACGGCCACACCAATCCTATATTTGGGCCACAGAAGATGCCCACAGCATCGCTGGGCTGGCCCTGGAATTTGGGCATCACGGATTCCGTGTTTGAGTCCTCCTCTTCATCTTCTGGTGGGGCACACGCCATAATTGTCCATGAGCGCCCTCCAGGGCCCACACACAACCTCTCTCTCTACCGAGTGTACACAACACACTACACACACAATCCCTGCTCACGAGTGAGTTTACACATACATCTATATCACAAACACAGTACACCAGACCCAATGAGGGAAGTTATTAGTTAGAGTTCAGGAGTAGAGAACAGAATTTACTCTAGCTAGTACAAGCAGGAAGGGAATAATTGTGGACTATTTAGTGGGTTGCGAATCACTGGAAGAGCTGAAAAACAAAAACACTCTAGCCTGAGTGTCTAGGGCTCTGTGATGCCTGGCAAATGGGGATGTCACTGCCATACCATCAGCTACAAAAAGCACATTGCCTCTCTTATGATCTCCACCAGCAGAATGGATGGCATAGGCCCTGCCTCTCTCCCCTACTGACCTCAATTCTGAACTAAAGTCTCATGTAGATCTAAATCACATATGACACCTAGCTGCAAAGGGGTCTGGGAAGTGTAGTTTGTAGCACTCCAGCCTCTGCAGAACAGAGGAGGAGGTGGGAAAGGATGTTGAGCATGCCAGTCCTCAGTATCTGCCTTAAGGAAATATTCTTGAACCTAGCCTCCCCTTCAACTTCTTAGAAACTGGTTAATTGCCAATTTCAGTATTTGTCTTAAACTTTGTACAAAAAGGTGGGGAAACCATCAAAATGCATACTACCAACACCTAAACACTACAGTGCCCGCCAAAGCTCAGTCCTGAGATCTCTTTACTTCTTCATCTGTACTCACTTTCTAGAACTCTTCCAGTTTTACGGTTTTAAATACCATCTGTTTGCTATCAAATTTATGTCTAGCTCTGATCTCTCCCTGAATCCCAAAACCATTTTAACAACTGCCTACTCCACATCTCTACTTGGATGTCTAATATGCACCTCAAACTTTTAACAGGGTCAAAAATGAGCTCTTATTTCTTCCCCCAACCACCACCCAAAACTGCTCCCCTGCAGTCTTCCAACTTTAGGAAATGGGAACACCATTCTTCCAGTTGCTCCAGTCAAACACTTTAAAGTCACCTTTGACCCTTCTCTCACATACAACACACCCAGCCACCAACAAATCCCACTGGCTCTACATTCAAAATATATCCAGAATCCAACCAATTCTCACCACCTCCACCACCACCTCCCCCCCTCTCCCAGCCCAAGTCACCATCAAATCTCACTGCATTATTGCAAGACCCTTCTAACTCATCTCCCTGCTTTGACCCTGGCCTCCAGCACCTTACATTCTCTGCCCCACAGAAGAATAATCCTTTAAAAATAATGCCAGAAGGGATTCTGGGAAAATGGTGGAAGTGGCAGCATAATTTTGAAATCTCTCCCAAATTCCCACATAAAATGACATAAAAGTGACAGAGCAATTAGATAGTAAAACAAAAACCCATGGATTACGTTTTTTACAAAATGGAGATTAGGGATCCTTACAAATCCTAAAATATGAATGAGTGGGGACAAATCACCTACGGCCTCAAGACCCACAAGGCATTGCCATTTGTGGGGAAAGAAACAGAGGGGAATAATGACAGATGTGACAGACCTGAGACTGGGAAAACTCCAGGAAACTTTCCATTTCCTGGAAAGCAGAGGGCCAATTTGAGAACAGCAAGTAAAAGTGGGAGGGGTTTTGCCCACTCCAATGGCAGGTGAGGTAAGACCTGTAAGAGCTGAAGCCGTCTAGGCCCATGAACTCCTGAAACCAACTGGCCAGGGCTCTCTTCTGGGACAGAGCTAAGGATAAACTGCGAGGGGTAGAATAAAAATTAAGCAGAACGGAAGCTATAGAGAAAAAGAAAAGAAAAGGTCCAGATAAAAGTGGGAGAGAGAAAAAGAAACCAGGAAATCTCAGAAAGCTAGCCACCATTTTTTGAACACTACAGGAAAGCAATAGAAAAGGAAACCAAAAGGTTAGAAAACGACACTGAACCAAGCCTCCTTCTAAAAGTTTAGAAAAGCCCAATTTTCAAAAGTGAGCAACACAAAAAGTATCAACATCAAACCCCATACAAAGGTTTTATAAGAAAAAAGAGAATAAGGAGTAAATAACATCTTTAGAGACAATGAAAGCATGTCAAGAAACAGATCAAACAGGCCCATTTCAAGACAAGGTGAAAGACACTAGGAAATGATGTAAATCATGAAAGAACAACACATATCAGAACTAGAAAAACTCGGAAATTATGTCACAGAACTCAGGAAAGAACTAGAAATAAAAGACAAAATCATCTCAGAATGGAAACTTAACTGAAAAAACATAAGAGGAAATAAACTTAGATAATGTCTTAAGAGAAACAGAAGGTAAAAATGAGGATAATTATAAAATAAAAAAGAAATAGGTTTTTTAAAAAAAGTTTTGGAGAACAGGAAAAATATTTGAGATAGGTGATAAGGATCTAAAATACATGTAATAGGAGTCCCTGAAGAAAAATGCAAAGCAAAGGATGAGAACAGTACCAAAAATTTTTAAGAAAACTTTCCTGAAATAAAAAAGATTTAAAGCTACACTTTATAAGAGCATACCTAAGAATACTGCCTCAGCATGTTCACTACCAGACATATTTTACTAAAATTACTGAATTTTAAGCAAAAAGAAAACAATACTTTGGGCATCTAGGCAAAAACAACAAGTGATTTATAAGGGAAATAAAATTAGATACTATCACACTTTTTGGTAGCAATTCTTAATGACAGAAGAAAATGGAGGAACATCTTTAGGATATGCGCCAATGATTTTATATCCAGTAATACTGACTTCCAAAAGGTATAAACTGTTATATACATAGCAGAACTTGAGAATTTTGTTGCCACAAGCCCTTTCTGGGGAAGCTAAATAAAGAATGAGCTTCAGACAAACAATATTACTGAGAGACATCAACCTAAGGACTGTTGGTGAGCTTAAAGATATTGTTACTTGTAGAACTAAAATTAAATGAGGGTTAGAAGGCAAGGGATATAGTATGAAATGATGATGTAGAGAATGCTGGTGATTCTTTTGCCTGCAGGTAGAGAGAACCTATCTGAGGAATGGAACCTTGGAAGGCATACTGGTTGACTACCCAAAAGCTAGTCCCTTCTCCCTTCTTCCGTGCTGGGAGAGCCTATCTTCCATGAGAAACTAGAAACGTCAGCCATTTGATGTCCCAGCCTTTCTTGCAGCTGGAGGTAGCCTCATGACCTAGATTTTCACCATGACATGTAAAAGTGAGTCTGCTGGGAACTTTCTGGAAAAGATTTCCTTTCCTGATAAAAAGTGAGTCAGGCAAGGAGAGCTGTCTCACCAACCTTGCCTCCCCGTTTTCCCCCTGATTTTGCTTGAGCATGGGATGCCTGGAGCTGCAACATGTCTTGCAACTATGAGGCAATAAGCCTGAGGATGAGAAAACATTTTTGATTGCAGCCTCCCCTACCACACACCGTTCTAAGAGGATCTGCCCTTACCTATAGCTAAACCCAGAAAGGAGTAAGGGAAGGATATATAGAGGCTGGTACTTTATGACATTTTTGAGCCACTGAACCAACTCTGGAATCACTTACCTCAAGACTTCTTATCATGTGAGATAATTGTTTTTATTATTTAGGCCACTCTTAGGTCTTCTGTTACTTCCAAGCTGAAAGCATTCTCAGTGATTCAGATTTCAAACACACAAAGTCAAAAGACTAAGAGAGAGAAAGCCTTGATGACACTGCCTGAGCCCTGAATCCAGCTGAAGAATCCAGCTGCATCTGTGAATTTCTTACAGGAACCAATAAATTCTCCTTTTTGCTTACCTAGTTTTGAGTTATGATTATGTAATCCAAAACCAACTTGCACATTTAGGCCCATGTAATAGATGTTTAGAAGCAGTATAAACAGAGTTGAAGATTGGTGCGTCCTCCATACACACCCTTCTAAGAGGATCAACCTTACCTACAGCTAAAACCAATTAATTTGTACCATGACCCATTTCCCTTGCCCGAGCTTATGGATATGGACAGGCTGAACCAATCACCTTCCTTGTCTTGAAAATTTGAACTAAGTCACACATACAGGAAAACTTAACTGAAAGATCATATACAGTCAAGGATGGAGTTGGTGCCATAGAAAATCTAAGTCATTTGCAAGCGATAGAAGGCAGCAGAAAGTTCAAAGGAAGCAGAGACAGCTGGTTTTAGGAGAGAATCAGGGGAAGTGGGAAGAGGCACAGAGAGAATTAGAGATGAAAGGATAAGCAGCAATTTGAGAGAGGCTCTCTTCCTGACTTTCTAGCTTCGATTTCTGTGAAGCTTGGTGCTGCTACATCTTTCCTGCCTTTGAATTTGGTAACTGTCTGTTTTGTGAGCTCCAGAACACAAGATAAGGTGAAGAACTGTGATTCAAGGGGCCACGACCCATGAGAGTCCTCAAGCAACACGGTGCTACACAGTCAGTTCACATGTGATTCTGAGCAATGGAAAGAAAAGCTAGTGTATTTTCAATGCATTTTGGCGAAAGCAATATCCTAATAAAACAAAACAAAACAGAAATGACTAATAACTTCATAGCCAAAGTAAGAGTTAAATAAAGTTTGCTTACAATAAGAAATCTGATATCAACTACATCAAAGAAACATAAGTTACCTGTCATTACTGAGGGATTTGGACTTCAATTTATAATATGCATATATCACTATAGTATGTATAAGTCAACATGGAGACACATTTTTAAATATCAATCCAACTTTGAAAGATCTAAATAATATAGAACTTTAATATAGGTTTCCTTGAATGAGTAACTCAGACATTTCACACAGAGTAAAGCTTCTCGTCAAACATATTTATACAACTTTTCATCTCTTCAAAATTTCTTATAGAGTGGCAAGAAAAAAAATCTCTCCCTCTCACCTACGAATCCACTCACTGCAAAATTGCTTCCCTCCATACTTCCTCTTGCTGATCATACTGTTTATACCACACACTCCCAAGAGACCCTCCTTGACATATGCAGCCCCCTGGTAAAAAATGCAGTAATGACAGTTTCATGCTTTGCAGTGTATCTCTAAGCTAACTTGAACACCATCCCAACCAAAAAGTACATCAAAAGATTTTATAATAAAAATGAAGGAATCTTTTGTCCCTTTTTAGTGTAACAGATTTACCTTACCAACAAGATCAAAAAAATATTTTGATCGTGGTAGGATATTGTCATAGTAAAGTTAACAGAAGAACTTTTAAGGAACTTGACACTTGCCAGATAAGAAAAATGATTATCTGATTACATTTTCTCAGTTTTAAACTGCAGAAAATTCCTGATAAGATTGTAAGGACATCAGATAGTAATATTAATACTCTCTTTTTGGTCAAAAAATGTTCCAGTATTTAGACTGTCCTCTGGAAAATGGCAGAGAACACAGCTTAAGACTAGAGGATATGATACGATCCAGCTATCTTACTACTGGGTATTTATCCAAAGAACATGAAATCAACAATACAAAGAGATCTCTGCACCCCTATGTTCACTGAAGCACTATTCACAATAGCCAAGACATGGAAGCAACCCAAGTGCCCATCAACAGATGAATGGATAAAGAATATGTGGTATATACAATGGAATACTACCCAGCCATAAAAAAATAATTGTCCCATTTGCAACAACATGTATGGACCTTGAGGGTATTACGTTAAGCAAAATAAGCCAGACAAAGAAAGACAAACACCATATGATTTCACTCATGTGTGGAAGACAAACAAACACATGGATAAAGAGAACAGATTAGTGGTTACCAGAGCGGAAGCGGGTGGGGAGTAGGCAAAAGGCGTAAAGGAGCACATATGTATGGTGACGGATAAAAACTAGACTATTGGTGGGGCCAGCCTGGTGGTATAGCAGTTAAGTTTGCATGTTCCACTTCGGCGGCCTGGGGTTCACTGGTTCGGATCCTGGATGTGGACCTACTCACCGCTCATCAAGCCATGCTGAGGCGGCGTCCCATATAGAAGAGCTACAACTTTACAACTACGATACACCACTATGTACTGGGGCTTTGGGGAGAAAAAAGAAAAAGAGGAAGATTGGCAACAGATGTTAGCGCAGGGCCAAACTTCCTCAAAAAAAATAAATAAATGGACGTATGACGGGGATGACCACTCATGCATCCTTTTCAAAAAAAAACAAAAAAACTCGACTGTTGGTGGTGAGCACCATGCAGTCTAAACAGAAACTGATCTTTAATAACGTATACCTGAAATTACACAGTGTTATAAACCAATATGACCTCAATAAAAAAAAAAGACTGGAGGATACGTTGCAACCATTTTATTAGTACTATATCAGGTATTCTTCCAGGAACTACAATCTAGTCAATGTATAAGTTTCTATTGTGGGGGGCTTATTTTTCATATTTTTGTGTATAAGCAGAGGTATTGAAATCATGTTGTAACTTGGTTAAAATATCATAAAAATTTGGCCTCATTTAAGTAAAATATTTCTTAGATGGAGGTATGTTTCTTAAAGACTACTAGTGGTGTTTTAACTGCTACATATTTACTTTTTTGAATATTACTCCAATTTTCTTAAGGAACTTAAGGAAAATCTTATATCAGAACTTTGATTCTGGTTCCTCCACAACTTGAATTCAATTTTCCATGCTGATCTTTTTTTTTTCCCTTCAAATTTGAATTCTGAAAAATCTCAAACACGTAGAAAAGTTTAAAGGTACTATGAACACCTTTATCCATCTGCTTAGATTCAACAATTATTAACATTTGCCACATTGCTTTATTTTTCCTTCTATCTCTCTTTCTCCTAAACCATTTGAAAGTAAGATACAGGCATTGTGACATTTCACCCCTAAATACATCAGTCCATGCTGCTCTTTTAAAAGTAGAAGGGACAACCCAAGACATTGCAGGTGAATATTTTCACTTTCACTAGACTTGAGAGTAAAAGTTTAAAGTTTTGTTTTTTGTTTGTTTTGCCGTTCAAAGGAAAATACTATAGCATATCCATAATACGAATTAGTACAACACATAATAAGAAAATACTATGAAATGTCTGATTTATCTAAGCTTTTAATACGAATACTAGTAAGAAGATACTATCTGTAGCATGTATTACTATGTGCTGAGCACTATACTGGACATGTTATCCCTTTTAATCTTCAAAACAATCCTACAACTTAGGTATTTTTTAAATTCCCATTTTATAGATTAATAAACTGTGTTTGATTTCAGAGCCTTTCTTCATTCCACTGTATCAAGTAAAACGAATACCAATAGCCTCTATCAATTAACCTAGACTCATTTGAGAAAAAAATGTGCCCCAATTGGTGATTTGTAAAAGACATGAGCTCCTTCCAGTGAACCTTTTTCTTCATTGTCACCTATTTCCTAAAATTAACTTTGTGTTTTTAAATCATCTTAATGAAAGCATACTAGTTGAATGGGAAATGAAAAAGCATCTACATGCTTGAATGCATTTAATGATTTTATTTGTGACAATGTTAGTATTCCAAATAAAGGTAATGTGAAGATGTATTTCCTCCCTGATAGTTAACAAGTTTGAAGATTGATAACCAATAACTGGTTAAAATAGCTCAATAACATTAACGAATTATTCTATATGAAATGAAAAAGAGCTCTAGGAAATAAAGCAAATACTGAATAAGCAGGGTTTTTCAAACAAGTACCAACGAACTTAGCAATAAGATTCAACAGTAAATGAAACACCATTACGACATTAGTGAAAAACCATATGGAGTTTGGATGAACCAGAGGAAGGACAATGTACTCACATCCTTTCATACACCCCTCATCACACTCAGGTGCACACACACACATACACATAAGCACAGGCATGAGCAAGCAAAAACATATCCCCACCCTTCTACTGCTCCACACACGTGTGCAGTGCCCAGGGTAGAGCTGCTCCATCCACACCCAAGGCCGGACTCTATGGCCACGCCACTAGCACGCTGCATGTGCCCTCCCCCCTCCTTCCACCCTTCCCACCCTCTGCCTAGGTCTCCTTAAATACCTTGAAAACACAGGGAATCCCAGGGGGTCTTCAGGTCTCTAGATTGCACTACCTTCATGCCAATGTATGGAGAAGGGACAGAAATGGAAAATAAGGAAGGTTCAGACCAGGCTGAGAGGTTCTGATTACACAGAGGATAGGAAGTGGAAATTCCTACAGCCAGCCCGCTGCCCAATCCAGAATACCTTCAGGGCAGAGGCCTTGACAGACTGTAGGCCCCCATTTAGAATCTGGATCATATTTTCAATACAGGGCTCATGAGATAGCTGGCCACAATTGTCAAAGACCAGCTGTGCTGAGAGAAACGGTTTCTGCCTTGGGGCCTGTAAAGAAGGGTTAGGAGAGGTCATGGGGCTAGGTGTCAGTATTTGCTCCCTGCCATTGGGCCCTTGACCACCTGCCCACCTCCACACATGCCACCCACCACCTCACTTGCAGAATGTTGGCCACAAAAGAGGTTATATCCTCCTCTATGATAGACACAAGGCTCTGGCAAATCATGTAGTCCACCAGGCGGGCCAATCGTCCCAGCTGCAACAACCAGGCCTCTGCCTGCTTCAGCTTCTGCTCCAGCTGCTGTTGCTGTACCCTCTGAAGGTATGTGGAGCCTTGGCCTGTCCTGATCCTCTTGCAGTTTTCCACTCGCTCCTGCAGGCCCTGTTGCATGTGATATGTGTCTTCATGAACCTGTCAGCACAGAGAGTGGAAAACTCACTGGAGAAAGGGGGATGGAGAGCAAACCAGCCACCACTGGTCTGTGCACAACTCTCAGGTCTTGGATCCTGAAACCTAGAACCTAGATATGCACACGGAGGGCTGCTTTTTAGTAGAGATTAGCCCCAAAAATCTTTAAGTGACCAGAGGAGATGCAAAACAGAGAACATATATTGAGAGGCCACAATGTGCTAATTTGATAGACCAGGCCTGTCTACTAAAAGCCCCCAGGGTGGCACTCAAATAGAAAATCTGTGCATGTGTAAATAGAGAGGTTCACAATGCATAGATTAGACAAAGAAAGAGAAAAGATTAGATAAGTCGGGCTCAGCAATAATTCTAGGATCTGGACTCCAATCACTAGGCCTGGGTGTTGTGGCCTGCTGACTAGCATTATACTGCCGTATGTGATAGTAGAAGCTCTCTGGGTACTGACACAGACTTTCTATTGGGGGATGGGGAATGTGGGATAAAAGTCTGGGAGCCTCTTTGTGGGTTCTTCTCAAATCTGGGAGGATCCTCAGCCTACAAAAGCTGCTGACAGCTGCTACCTCTCTGGGCCTGTCCCGTTTAGAAGCAGAGGGGAGACACCAGAAAGATATGCTTGGCCAGATGGACCTTTTGTCCTTGCTGTTCTCCTGTCCTTTTTGGTGCTCAGTAGAGCTTATGATTAGAATTAATTGGTACCCGTGAATTGTATTCTGCTAACCCTGACCTCAAATCCCAGTCTTCCGAGACCCAGACATAAGGCAGTTGAGGCCTAAGCTAGGCACATCATACACAAACACGCCCTCAGACTTGGCGAGATGTCCTCTTCTATGCTCTGGCAACACCCTCAATATCTAGTGCTTCCCACTTCATAGCCCTTAGTCCAGTGCACCATCATTATCTAGTTACTTGTGAGACTCATTCACTACAGATACGCTTTGACTTAACAGTGGGGTTAAACCATCCTAAGTTGAAAATATCGTAAGTCAAAAATGCATTTAATACACCTAACCCACTGAACATCACAGCTTAGCCTAGCACACGTTAAATGTGCTCAGAACACTTACGTTAGCCTACAGTTGGGCAAAATCATCTAACGCAAAGCCTATTTTATAATAAAGTATTGCACGTCTCATGTAATTTATTGAATACTGTACTGAAAGTGAAAAACAGAATGGTTGGATGGGTACTCATCCAAAAAAAACACTGGCAACACAGTACACTGTCGAATATCAGCTGTTTACCCATGTGATTGTGTGTGTGGCTGACTGGGAGCTGTGCTCGCTGCCGCCGCCCAGCATCACAAGAGAGCATCATCCCGCGTATCCCTAGCCCAGGGAAAGATCAAAATTCAAAACTCGAAGTACGGTTTCTAATGACTACATATCACTTTCACACTATGATCAAGTCGAAAAACTGCAAGTCAAACCATCATAAGTCGGGCACCATCTGTACATTGTAAATTCTTCAAGGAGGAGGCCTCTGTCACACCTTATTCCATTTCTCTATTGCTTAACACAGTGCCTGGCATGGGTAGTTCTACAGTAAATGTTTGTAAAAAGAATGTATCACCTCACATTGAAAGGGCTTACTGAGTGTCAGTTAGGATAAAACCATACAAACAACAACAACAATAATTACTACAACAGAGCATAATCAGTGTACATTTTTAAAACCTCACCATTAGGGGCAATATCTTCAAAGTTCTGAGGATATTTTTTAAACCCAGAATTCTGTATCTAGCCACAGTATCACTGAAGTTTGAGGATAAATAAAGACATTTTTAGATATACAAAGACTCCAAAAATTTACGATCCACAGATTCTCTCTGAAAAAAAAAAAATAGTATATTTCTGACAGAGGAAAATGAATACCAGAGAACAAAGTGGTCTACAAGAAGCTCTGATGAGCAAAGAAATTTGTGAAACATATTGTTAATTCTAAATGGGTAGGCTGTAAAACAAGAATGTTCATAACAATCCAGAATTAAAATTCTAGGAGAGATCAATATAAGCATAATAGGGGGCCGGTCCTGTGGCTTGGTGGTTAAGTGCGCGCGCTGCAATGCTGGTGGCCCGGGTTCGGATCCCGGGTGCGCATCGAGGCACCACTTCTCCGTCCATCCTGAGGCCGAGTCCCACATACAGCAACTAGAAGGATGTGCAGCTATGACATACAACTATCTACTGGGGCTTTGGGGGGAAAAATTAAATAAATAAAATCTTTAAAAAAAAAAAAAAAAGCATAATAGGAAGGGTGGAGGGTAGAGAGAGGGAGAGAGGAGAGAAAGGGAATGAGGAGAGTGCTGAGGCTCTTACTCTACTTAGGAGAAAGATATGGATACACATTCACACTTGACATTCATTCATTCAACCAATATTCACTAAGCACATACTATATGGCACACCTATAATAAGCACTAGAGATATACTAGTGAATGAAGCAGATAAAAATCCCTACCCTCTTGGGGGTGGGGGTTGGAAATGGGAAAAATACAATAAACATAATAAGTAAATAATTTAGATTCTATGTAAAAAGGTGATAAGTGCTATAAAAAAAAAACCACAGAGCAGGGAAAGAGGGATGATGAGTGCTGGTGACAGTGGGCTTTGCAGTTTTAAACAGGGTAACCAGAGAATGCCTCTCTGAGAAGATGATTTTAGACAAAGACATGGAAGAGACATTCTTATAAAATATAAGTTGAACAGCTACACATGTTGGGCAGGGGTATAAATGTCTTATATAGGCACTCAGCTGCAAGAGAAAACTAGAAAAAATGTGGCTTAAGCAAGTAAAAGGTTTATTTATTTAATGCAATAAGAAATCCCTGGATAGCATATTGGCCCGACAACATCAATCAGAACAAAGCTCCTTCTGTCTTCTCCCTCCTCCATCCTTAACATGACTTTCACCCTTACCTTGGTGAGATAGCTTCTCCATCACCAGGAATTCATCTCAGGGTCAGGCAATAAGACAGGAGTAAATGTCCAAAAAGACATTCCAGTTGAATTTGCCTCTTTTAAAAAGTTTTCCCAGTGACTTCCACTTACGTTTCATTGCCTGGACCTGAATTACACAGCTTCCTCCAGCTAGGAGTCCATGAAAAGAAACAAAAGCAAGATTCTAAAACTAAGAAAGATGAGTAGGCACTGAGTGGTTCCTGGGCAACCCCAAGAAGAATAAAATGGATAACATCCCAATCATTAGATGACAATAACAGCAACAAAAATGTAAACAATCCAACCAAAGACAAGAAACACAAGGAAGACTCAAACAGAAATCATAGGAAATAGAAAACACCAAAACCAGATGGGAAAAATAAGTCCAAACCTATCAGTAACCATAATAAATGAGATAAACCTGTTGCAAGACAGAGACTCTCAGACTAAACGTTTTCCAGCTATTTGTAAGAGAGACACAGAAAACAAAATAACAAAGGAGGACTGAAAACAAAGGGATAGAAAAAGACAGATCAAGAAAATGCTTGATGCTCTTAACATCAGACAAAAGAGAACTCTAGTACAAAAGTAGTACCAAGAATGAAGACTTTTTCATATCAACAAAGTCACCAGGAAATATTGTTATGAACCTCTATGCACATTACAGCATGATTTTGAAATACATGTTGCAAAATGAAAGAACAGCAAGGAGAAATTAATAAATGTATAGTCATAGGAGGGGATCTTTAACATATCTCTCTCAGAAACTGAAAGATAAATTGGATAAAAAAAATTATTGTGGCTATAGAATATTTGAATAAAACAATGAGTCTAATTGGTCTAATTTCTTAGGTTGGGTTTCCTAGAAGCAGAGCCTGAGACAAGAATTTGGGGAAATGAGATTTATTGAAGGAATGATCTTCAGAAAACACACCTCTAAGGGAGGCAGGGAAGCAAAACAGGGAGGGGACAGTGCCAAGCAAGGTCTCAGCGAAGGCGGTTCTTGGTCTGATGTGAAAGGGAGACGGCTTTGGAATGTATATCATATTGTAGAGTTGTCCCACCATGAGACAAGGAGCTAAAAAAAGGTGGGAAGCTGTTCCACATGGAAGATACTGAAGAGAAGTGACCACTAAATACAACGCATGATTCTGGATTGGATCCTGAAGCAGGAAAAAAACACAGCAAGAAAGGACATTACTGGAATAATTGGCAAATTTTTAATAAGGACGGTGGGTTAGATAACAGAATTGTATCAAAGTGAAATTGCCTAATTTTTGATAACTGTACTATAGTTATGGAAGAAAATGTCCTAGTTCTTATGAAAAACACTCTGGCATATTTAGGGGTAAAGGGACTTGATGTCTGCAACTTACTCTCAAACAACTCACGAAAATAATGTATATATACGTAGAGAAAGAAAGAGCACAGATGATAAAGTAAATGGGACAAAATAACAATCTGGGTAAAAGGTACATGAGAGTTTATTATACTATCCTTGCAACTCTCCAAATAAGTTTGAAATTATATCAAAATAAAAAGTTACACAAGAAAGAAGCAGGAAGGAAGAAAGAAAGAAAGAAAGAAAGAAAGAAAGAAAGAAAGAAAGCAAAAGTGTTTATCCCAGAAATGCAAAGGTGGTCTAATACTGACAATTCACCATATTAATAGACGAAAGGAGAAAAATCCCATGATCATCCAAATAGAAGCAGAAAAAAAAAATCACTGGACAAAATTCAACTCCCATTCATGATAAAACCTCTTAGCAAACTAGGAATTGATGGGAACTTCCTTAAAAATTGATAAAGGGTATCTACCAAACACTCACATTCAACATCATTATTTATTTAACATTTCGAATCTATTTTACTTATTAGTAATGCTACAGTTTAATGGGCAGCAGCATGCTTTTATTTAGCACAGATTACAAGCTTGGTTCTGTAACAATTCAGTTACCAGCTGGGATGATTACTGATCTTCCCCTTCTCCACCCCCCGCCCCTTGGGGTGACTGCCAACAGGAACAGGTTCCATTCCAGTCTACGTAGCAGCACAGAAAGTGGCTCCACGTGTTGCATTTGCTTGTCTTTTCACTCTTTTTATCATGCTTTTTAAAAAAATTTTAATATAGACAAATTTATTTATTTTCTTGTGGTTTACAATTTTTATATTTGTTTAAGAAAACCTGAGATAATAAAAATATTATCTTATATTGTCCTCTGAAAGCTTTCTGGATTTTCCTTTCACACTTACGTCTTTTTATCCACCATAAATTAATTTTTGTGTATGGTGTAGCAACTATTAGAAAACAATAATGTTTTAAAATACCATTTACAATAGCAACAACAAAAAAATCAAATATCTAGTAATAAACTTAACGAAATACATTCAAGAACTCTACTGGAAACCAATAAAATCTTGTTAAAAGAAATTAAAGAAATCAACGGGCCAGCCCCGTGGCTTAGCGGTTAAGTGCGTGCGCTCCGCTGCTGGCTGCCCGGGTTCGGATCCCGGGCACGCACCGACGCACCGCTTCTCCGGCCATGCTGAGTCCGCGTCCCACATACAGCAACTAGAAGGATGTGCAGCTATGACATACAACTATCTACTGGGGCTTTGGGGGAAAAAAATAAATAAATAAAATCTTTGAAAAAAAAAAAGAAATTAAAGAAATCAAAATAAATAGAGATCCATGTTCACGGATTAGGAGATGAGAAATTGTTAAGATATCAATTCTCCCTGAAATTGATCTATAGATTCAAAGCAAGCCAATAAAAATATCCTTTAAATTATTTTGTGGAAATTAATAAGCTGATTCTAAACTTTATACGGAAATTCAAAGAACCTAGACTAGTCAGGGAAATCCTGAAAAACAAAAAGTTGTAGGACTTACAATACAAGATATCAAGACTTATCATAAAGCTACAATAATTAAGACAGTTGTGACACTGACAAAAAGATAGACACATAGACTAATGGAACAAAAGAAAGTCCAGAAACAGACCCACACATATACAATCACTTGATTTAAGAAAAAGACACCACTGTAATTAAGTGGGGAAAGGACGTTCTTTTCAATAAATGGGAAAAATAAAACTTGACTCTTACCTCACACCATACATAAAAATCAATTTGAAATGAACCATAGAACCATTTCTAAATGTGAAAGAAAAGGCAATAAAATTTCTAGAAGAAAACATAGGAGAATATCTACGTGACTTTGGGGTAAGCAAAGATTTCTTAAACCAGGACTCAGAAGGCACTAACCAAAAGAGACTGATAAAATGAACTTCAAGAAAATTAGGAACTTCTGTTAATCAAAAGCCACCATTCAAACAGTAAAAAGGTAAGTCACAGACTGAGAAAATATCTACAATACATATATATATTTGATATGTATTATACATAAAGAATATATAAAGAACTCCTACAAATTAATAGGAAAGAAACAGGCAACCAATAAAAAATAAGCAAGAGAGTTAGACACTTCACAGAAGAGGGTAACAAAATGGCCAATAAACATATGACAAGATGCTCAATATCACTCATGATCATAGAAACACAAATTAAAACCACAATAAGATATCACTGTAAACCCACCAGTTTGGCTAAAATTAAAAACTCTGACAATACCAAGTGTCAGTGAGAAGGCAGGACAACTGGAAGTCTCCTACGCAGTTGGTGGGAACATAAACTGGTACAACCACTCTAGAAAACTGTTTGGCACTGCAAAACATACATATTCCCTATTCCAGCAATTCCACTCCTGGCATAAATACCCCAAACAAATGAGTGCTTATGTCCACCAAAAGACACATATGAGAATGTTCATGGCAGCATTATTCATAATAGTGAAAAACTGGAACCAACTCAAATGTCCATCAATAGGAGAATTAACAAATAAATTGTGGTACATTCATACAGGGAAATACTACATAGCATGCAGAAGAGTGAACCACTACTACCTAGACTATTATGCACAAATCTCAAAAACATAATGTTGAGTGAAAAAAAAAGCCAGACAAAAAAGAGCACATGCTGTCTGATTCCATTTACATGAAATTTAAAATCAGACAAAATTAATCTATGGTGACAGAGGTCAGAGTAGTGGTTGCCTTTGTGGGGTATTGATGAGAGAGGAATCAGGGAGCTTGCTGAGGTGCTGGAAATGCTCTACATCTTGATCTGGGAGGTGGTTACATGGAAGTATATATATGCAAATATTTCAACAAACTGTACACTTAAAATTTGTTTACTGCATGTAAATGATACCTTAATAAAAAGAATAACTACTGACTATAAAAAAAATTATAACTATTTTGGTGACATTAAAACAAAGGTGGGATTTATGAACTGGGAGGTAGAGAAAGGCTGTGGAGCAGCTCACCGCCCCCTTCTGCCCCCTTCAGCTTAGTGCAATGGCAGGTCCAGCTGCTGTTGTCTGGAGGCTCAAGGCCATTTCCCTGTATGAGTGTACCAAGGGCCTTCACATCATTTTTCATTTTCAAAAATCTGGGTGGGTCGCCTCTCTCAGAACTGGACTATGCGCAGATGGTGATTAGCCAGAGAACTGTGTGAATATCCAGCCCCACCTGACAGACAACAAACCATGATGATAGGTCATGGGCAAGAGGCAAGTACACAGCAGGGCCTTCCAGAGTGCTAGGCAGGGGGCATGTACCACAGATGCAAAGTAGGCATAATTAGGAAGGACTCCATCACTGGATGCTTCTACCAGCCACAGTGGCCTGCCAAAGGTTCAAGATAGGTTCAAAGACTAGCCCAGCAGCATGAAAGATCAGGATTCCAACTCTCAAACTCCCTAATGCCTCTGGCACAAACAACTGAAAAAATAGACATCGTTATGTTCCTTCTCCTCCCTGCTCAAGGCCAAGACCAACCCTCAGGGAAAGGTTGAGTCCAAGTCTCTGCCCATCTGTTATTGATCTACCCACCCCAGAGCAGAGGCCACTGTTGCTGGGCAGGACAACGGCTGAGACAACTGCAGAGTCCAGGCCACCCAGGGGATCCCAGGAGAAGCTTAAGCCAAGAAGAGGCTGGAAGTCTGGTGAACTCAGCCTGGAGAAAAGGTTCACAATAAACTGGAGCCTCTTACCAGTTGAAGGATGGATGTGCAGAGGTGCAGGCAGCGCCGGAGCAGCCGCAGAGCCTTGTGGTTCTCCTTGGCTAGAGCCCGCTGCAGGTCCAGCAGCGTGTAGCACCGATCTGGCTCCTGGGGGAGCCAGGACACAGAGTGCAGCTCCTGCAGAAGCCTGGAATCAAGGGCTAAGCTGGTCAGAGCTGGAATCTCAGTCCTCTTTCCTTGGACACCTTTGACCTCTTCCTAGCCCAGCTCACCCCAAAATAAGCAAAAGTTTAGAAAGGTAATAATATTCCCAGTGACTGACAGTGACAGCTTCCTCCTGAGAGTTCTTTGTAAGAATTCAAGCCCAGGAAGTTGCTGGCTGAGGAATTCTTTGGGCAAGCCCTGGAGTATGTGCAAGTGTTTACACAAGTGACCTTTCTGCCAGGAGAGAGGGTCAAATAGATCCCAAGGTCTGACTTAGAAGGAGAGACTACAGAGGTTTCTTCTTTGGAACAGGGCTAGCAGAGGGCCCTAAAAATTTAGATGAACAGGTGAGTTTTAGGATCAAAGGTGATGAACCTTCAACTTCCCTATGGGCTGACCATCCCTGAGGAAACCCACTTCTGTTACCCACTCCCCCACCACCCGCCCTGAGAACTCTGCATCTCTAAACATCCTTGAAAAAGATGAAAGACTCCCTTTAAGCAGAGGATGATCATAATGGGCGTCATTTATTCAGTACCTATTAAGAGGCACTGAACATGGTATTTCATATTCACAGTCTCATTTAACTCTCACTACAGCTGTGTAGCAGAAATCTTTATCCCAAGTTTTCAGATCAGGAAACAGAGGCTCAAAGAGTAAATTCTTTGCTAGCATTCAGGATTTAAATTCAGATCTGTCCAGCCTCTAAGCTCTTATGCTTTTAATTACACCATGATGATTAGGTTAGACTGGAAGTTGCCTAGAGCAGAGGTTGCAAACCGGTAGCCCACGGGCAAACTCAGAACAAAAATATTTTCATGTGTACCACTAAGAGTTAGCCAGCACAGTGTTTTAATAAAAACTTGAGCTAACCAGATAAAATGAAGAAATTTTACAACAAAATTTTGATTTCTAGGAAATCCTGAAAAACAAAGTGGCTGACATGCTGGACCCATACTCCCAATGGCAACAGTCAATTGGAACTGAGTAGTGACTGTCCTCTTTAGATGCAATCTCCAGACTGCAGTCCCCACACTCCCTCATGTCTTGCACCTAACCCACTGCATTTCTTCCATAGCTCCTGTTGGGCCCCATAGGTGTTTTGAGTTCACAACTCCTATCACAAAAGATAACTGGAGTGGCTGAGGATTACAGAGAAACCAAGAAAGCACTGAAAATAGGAATAAATAAGCTTTTCCAAAAAAAGAATCCAAGTAATACCATGGAAAGGGCAGAGAGTTTGGATTCAAACACCTAAATTAGAGCCCCAGATTTGATACTTAATAATTGTGTGATCTGGGGCAAGTTGATGGAGGAATATGTAATTACATGGAGATATGTTCAGAATATATTATTCAGAGAAAAAACTAGTTAGTTAACAGCATGCAAAGTATGATCACATTTATACATGTGATAGAAAAAAGATCACAAAGATATGCAACAAAATGTTCATAGTGGTTATTTATGGGTGGTGGGATTAAAGATTTTTTACCTTTGTGCTTTTTTGTATTTTCCAAATTTTCTACAAGGAACATGTTATTACCTTCTATAAAAATGATTTTTAAAAATCCATTGAGGTTGTGTTTTGAAGACCTCACCTGCTAATATGGAGCAGCCCAGCTCCAAAGTGGGGCACAGCACAGAGCAGATTCTTCCCTAGGAAAGTCTGGCACCGTTGTAGCCCCTGCAATTTCATACTCTTCTTCCAACTGCAGATCAGAGGGCAGGGACAACGTGCTATCACTCTCTGCAACACCTCCCCCCCAGTCCCATACCCATCATCACCTACCAGGCCAAGGCCTTGCGTAAGAGGCAATACTTGAAGAATGGAATGAACTGGAGCTGTTGCCAGAGGACAGAGTGGTGGTGCCAGGTACCCAGTGTCATTGTCTCACTGCCCTCCACAGGATGTACATGCAGGATGCCAAAGGGAGAGAAGATGTAGTGCTCAGGATTCACCTCGTTTGGTGGCACCACCATCAGGCTGTAGGGCCTTTGAAAAAGAGCTCTGATCAGTAGGAGCCCTAGGCATTTGTGCAGACTTCAGGAAGGGACAAAAGAAGGACAGGGAGTTGAAAACAAGGAGGCAGGAAGGAAGGCAGAGGAAAGGAGGAAGAGGGGAAAAAGAGACGAACGATCTTCAAACTAGAAAGATGGAACAAATATTATTAAGAAGAAATGGAGGCTGGCCCCGTGGCTTAGCGGTTAAGTGCATGCACTCGGCTCCTGGCGGCCCGGGGTTCGGATCCCAGGCGTGCACCGACGCACCACTTCACCGGCCATGCTGAGGCTGCGTCCCACATACAGCAACTAGAAGGATGTGCAGCTATGACGTACAACTATCTACTGGGGCTTTGTGGGGGCAGGGGGAGAAGAAATGGAAGCCAAAGATAGATGAGAAGAAAGAAAAAGGCACTTAGCCAGTTCCAAGAAGTTTCTATCTCCAAACCCAGACACCTTACATCCCATCAAATCTAAGAGACCATCAGTTGTAAGCTGTAGCACTTTTTTAATGAAACACTGAAATAAAAAATGCTGCCAATATGATACTCTACAAGTTTGTAAGATGCATCACAATTTCAGAGATGTCGAAATGTGAAAAAAATGTGCATCTTAGAAATGATAAAATACGTATATCCCTAAGTACTGAAATACCATGCAGAGATAATCAGGGAATGCTGTTTGGAGTAACTGAGAATGGGGAAAAGGAGGGGGCAACTAGAAGGCTAGACACAGGCCAATAAAGAGGAAACCTGCAACCTTGTGAGCCAGACTCGTGCCTCCAGAGCCACCTTAAAATCCTACTAAGTTCTCTTACTTCAGCAAGGTGCACCTACAACCCACATTACATACAATTTATATGGGGCTATACAGTAGTTGTGTCTAGTTGCAGTAGACTAGTTAGCATAACGCTATGGGCACATTTAATAAAGCATTTATTCATTTTTATTTTGCAGTTTTCTTTTCATAACTTGGAGCCAGTAATATTTTAAAGCATTAAATATATTTTAAAGCCCTTTAAAATCTGTATGTCCTAGGTCCTATGCCTATAATACCCAAGAGAGAAAATAGCCCTCCTCTACCTCTTATCTCTCTCACTCTCTAGAATACATTATCAAGCAAATGACTTGAGTATTTGGACAGATATCAGAATAAACTCACTAAGTCAAGTCATATATAAACTTTAGTTCATTTCTGATAAAGTGACTAGATCTTCTCAAGTACTATTTTCCCCAAATTACAGATGAGAAAACTGAAACAAAGAGAAGTTATAACTTTGCCCAAAGCAGTTAAGGGAAGAATACAGGATTTAAAACCAAATCTACCTGACTCAATCCCCCTCTCTTAACCACTGGGCCATTTAGCTTCCCAGTGGATAGCCTCCTATCCTAACTGGTCCCTGGATCTCCCAAGGGGACACTCCTTTCCCCATGACTTTCTTGATGGAAGCTACTCTTTCTGCACAGGGCCAGGAGTTAGGGAGTACTCTCCTCACTCCCCACTGCTCCTTTGGGGGATATTCACTCATTCTACAAATGTTTATGATGCCAAGCACTATGTCAGGCACTGAGGATACAGCAGTGAACAAGAAAAATCCAGTGCCTGACTTCATGAAGCTTAGTTAAACCATCACCAAGTTCCCTTTCTATCCAGGTGCTGTGATCGGAGATGAGGACATAAAGATAACTACTACAGAGTCCTTACCCTCAAAGGACGCAGATCAGTTGGAGGATTAAGTGATGTTAGAGAGTAACTGAGGTAAGTCAAGATCTTCCTGAGTCCCAGACCCATGTATTCACTGCTTCCAAAACACCTCACACTCTATGTCTTGCATCTACCTGAGACACAGCAAGTTCTATACCGAACTTATCATTTACTCCCTCCAAATCTGCTCCTATTTTGGGTATTTCATTCATCCATTCAACAAATGTCACTGAGTTTCTACTCTACGCTAAACTCTTCTAAGCCCTTAGGATACATTGCTAAATATAACAAACGCAACTCCCCGCCCTGATAGAGCTCTCATTCTACTGGAGAAGAAAGAAGATAAATATAATAAATGGCGGGGTTGGGGGGTGAGGAAAAGGAGATTGGCAGTGCCAGAAGAGGAGGGAGAGCAATTTTAGATAGGGTGGGGAGGGTGGGGAGGGTGACAGTCGAGCAAAGACTCTAAGGAAGTGAAGGAATAAATTCCTTCCTAAATATGAATCAAAATCTAGGACAAATACAAGAAAAATTTGATAAATTCAAACACATTGAAAAAAAACTCTGTTAAATGGCAAATAAACAAACAAAATGAGGGCCGGCCCCGTGGCTTGGTGGTTTAGTGAGCGCGCTCCACTGCTGGCGACCCGGGTTCGGATCCCGGGCTCGCACCGACGCGCTGCTTCTCCGGCCATGCTGAGGCCGCGTCCCACATACAGCAACTAGAAGGATGTGCAGCTATGACACACAACTATCTACTGGGGCTTTGGGGGGAAAAAATAAATAAATAAAATCTTTAAAAAAAAAAAAAAAAAATGAAACAATAAATGCCAGGCTTCTACGTTTGCTGATGGTACACTAGAAATTTGGACCAACACTCCCACTTGAGAACACCTAGAAAAACTGGGCAAAATATCTGGATAAAATATGAAAATTATCTGTGTGAATGTATCAGAGAACCCACAAATCAAATCCCCTGGGCTTGGTGTTGGGACCCTGGGTTACAATATCGGTTGAACCAGAAAACACTTCCGTCCTTGGCATGGGCCCTGAACCGCAACTTCTGTTCTTCACCTTTCTGAGTCTGTCGAAAGCTCAGCTCCTCTTCTCAGTCTTTCGGAGCATACAGTAAAACTGACACACAACTGCCTCTGCTGGAATCGACAGGCACCTCTGTTTGGGGAAAAGCAGCACTAAATGCTAAACTCACTTCCTTGGGTTCCTTCTTTGGCAGATGTTGGCCCTGTAATTATTCACTTCTGTTTTAGTTCTCTTGCTCATGGTTTTTTGTCTTTCTATGTGCCTAATTATCTTTGATTGTGCTGCTTCTCTGATTATGACTGAGCTGATAGTCTAAAGCCCGAAGCTTGTAATTTTCTTTCTGTAAGCTCTCCACCATGGTCAACAGGCATCCCATCCCACATTGCTACCATTACTATCATCACCGCCAGACGGTCAAGTGGAGCAGCCACTAGGTGTCAGTAGGTAGTCATCGTATTCAACCACAAGTGATAATTAATTGTGATACCACTACCTGTCATGGATTACTGGACCTATTTCCCTTTAGCAAGGAGCTCAGTATCGTTCAAGGCCAAGGACATTACCAAACCAATATCAGAATCCCATATTTGATGATCGTTTCCTGGGACCACTCATGATACTAAGTTCTGCACCAGTCTGGGTCCAGTCAGGAAAACAGAAACCACACTAGGCATTTCAACAAAGTGAATTTAATAGAGAGACTGTGTTTTTAAAAAGGTGTCAGAGGGGACTTGCCCTGTAGCGTAGCGGTTAAGTGTGTGAGCTCCACTGCTGGCGGCCCAGGGTTCGGAACCCGGGCGCGCACTGATGCACTGCTTGTCAGGCCATGCTGTGGCAGCATCCCACATAAAGTGGAGGAAGATGGGCACGGATGTTAGCCCAGGGCCAGTCTTCCTCAGCAAAAAGAGGAGGACTGGCATGGATATTAGCTCAGAGCTGATCTTCTTCACAAAAAAAAAAAAAGGTGTCAGAGGACTGAAAAAGGAAAAAGGGAACACTAAGGCAGCGCAGAGATAATATATGCAGGAAATGGATGCAGCTCCTGAACTAGAGGAACAAAGGCAAGAGGTTTGGGTTCTTAGAAGCTATGAGCTTGAAGAGGGGCTTGTAGAGTTGGGACTTGGATTTCTAAGGAGATGATGCCTGGCTGCTGTTAGTGCCTAAGGAGTTTGGAGGAGTGGCCTTGAGAGTTGAGACTCAGAACTCTGATGGGAAGGGGCCACTCAGCTGGTGTCAGTACCTCTCAGGATTATGAAGAGGCTGATTCAGAAAGTGCCTGCTGCTGCCAGGGTGAAGGACCATTTCTGGGGCAATGCCAACAGGAAGAGCAAGCAAAGGAAGAAGAAAGTCTCTTCTCCCCTGATCCTGCTCTCCAGTCTCTTTCTAGCACCCCTATTAATCAAACCTAACAGGAGGCCAGCTGAAAAAGGAAAAATGAAGTTTGCAGTGTCTTAGCCCCAGTGTCACAAAGCAGAGAGAGATAGTAGAATTACAGCCAAGAGACGATTGTTTAATAACTGGCACAATGCTCTCAGTGAACGTTTATTAAATGAATTGATCAGCAAATGAATGGAAGATGCAGATCATTAGTGCTACCTAAGTTCAGAAGAAAGAGATCAGTGTACGCAGGAAATAAGGCTCTCTGGGAGAATTTATCAGATGTGGCTTAAGAGCATGAACTTTTGAGTTAAGACAGTCTTAGGTTTAAGTCCTGTTTCCACCACTTACTATGTGGCTTTGGACAAGTTACTTAGCCTCTCTATGCATCAGTCTATTCGTCTCATATATGGAAATAATAACAGCACCTACCTGGTAGGTGAGGATTAGATAACACATGTCATGTGTTTATTAGCACAATGCCTGGTATATAGAAAAGCTTGATTAACAGTAATTATTATTATTATCTCTAGGAAGAGATAGGACCTGAATAGGGCTTTTAAAAATAGGTAAGATTTAGATCTAATGGAAGAAAGTGCATGAATGCCTCTTGAGTCATGTGGAAGGAGGAGACTTGTTTTTATAGCCCCAGAGATAAAAGTAGGACCAGGAGGTAAAAGTTAAACAAAGCAGATTTTGGTTTAGTCTAAGGAACAGCATGCCTTGGGGAAAACAAAGCTTCCCTGACTGTAAAGATTTAAACAAACACCTGGTTGTTGCACTGGTGTTGGAAGACATCACCACTAAATTCCCTTCTGAGGCGATGACCAAGTGTTTCTATCATTCTAGGACAGAATAAAGAAGACAGAGCAAAAAGTAGAAAAGGATGACTAAGACAAAAGGCTGTGAGAGCAAAGGGAAGCAAAGAAGAGGTGGAGAGGGGAGAGGAGGAGGCTGAGGAGAAGGGAAGAGGGAGGGAAACTGGGAGACAGAAGAGAAATGAGAGGGGAGAGGACAAAGGACCAGAGAGGAGCGCGTATGGAGAGGAGGAGGAGGGGAAGATAGCAGGGGAGGAAACCAGGGAGTGTGGGAGTAGGAGAAGAGGTCTGGATATGGGCTCTTACCTAAAGTACCGGCTGGGAGCCACATTGAGATAGAGGAAGTGGATCTTCTTCAGGTATCTCTCTGTCTTCAAAATGGTCATCACCTGGCTACCCCGCAGGGAAATCTGAGGTAAGAAGCCAGTGCTTCTCCTTTGGAAGGCCTTCTCCCCAGGAACTTCAGAGTCAAGCTGAGACCTGTATGATAACAAATCAAGAGAGAAGAGGCAGAGCAAAGAGGTCAGGTTGCCCCTGGTGGCCAGTGAGAGGAGGAGATAGATCAGGCGCCTGAGAGGACCTGATATGGCGTTGTCAGAGCCTGTCTACTGCCTATACACTGAGGTGGCCACAGACTGAGCAAATGCAGTCCACGATGTAACACAGTCAGGCAGCTATACTCACACAGGCCTGTGCACGAACCGCTCCCCCTTTCTGATAAATGAGTAATCATTCTGGATTGATTATGATTACTATGAAGTCAGTATTACACAATACTGAGCAAAAGTAACAGGAATACTTTGTTTTCTCAACTCATCACCTCACAAGCCCATAGTCCTGGATTTCCCCTCTCTGACAACCTTCCTAACCTTCTAGATCTCCTATCTTTGCTCCCATTATACCTGCTTTCCAACCCCACATGATCTCCATGCCTGTGACTCTTTCTTGCTCTTCCTCCATCATCACCCAACCCCAGCTTCACTTCCTTTCCTTTCCAGCCAGAATCCAATCGTGCATCCTTCAACCGCTCAAGCCTGCCTCAATCTTCTTACTCTTCTACCACATCAGTCAACAAAATTGATAAGAAAATTAATTATTCAAGAAACCAAAAGTTAATTACCTGGACTAATAATTTTGGTTGGGGTGACCTCAGAGCACACCACACAAAACAACTCTGAATAATCAAACTTAGACTCAACCAGTCAAAGTATACTAGTGTCATTAATTGTCCCAAACCTAGATCAACAAAACAAGATAGTCCAGAGATAACAGTGCAATCCTATGTAAAGTTTATATCAACAATAGAGTTTATGATCTTGATGTCGGATCAGAACATCTTAAAGGTGTAACTGCTATTAAAAGTTCATTTTCTCAACAATTAAAGTCCTACCTGATCTAGGCATGTTCAGAGGATCACAGAACTAGGAGTATGGGCTTATCTATAGATTCCTGTTGTCTAGTCTCAACTGTGGGCTCACTCTGCCATGTCTTAGTATAAGTCCTCAGGCTCCTCAGCTGCTATTCCAGGCCTCCAGCTACCCTCATGGCCATCCCTGCCAAGCCCCCAGTCCCTCCCCTTCTCTGCCTTCTTCCCTGCCTAAAGAAAACTGAGGTTCTCAGCCAGGAACTCCCTCAAGTTCACCTGCCCTCCCACACATTTATCTGCACACACTCCCATCCTAATCTTGTCTTCCAATCTGAGGGGAAGTAGTGTCCTTTCTTGTCTGCAAGGCTAATTCTTCCATTTGTGTTCTGGATCCCTTATTCCCCCTTCATGATGTATTTTCAATCTCTCCTTCTTCTTCCCCTTAGCCCATATTTATTCATTTACACTCTACAAATATTTATTGAGCACCCACTTCTCAAAGCACTGTCTTAAGGGCTATGAACATCTCTTCATCTTTCTTTCTTTTTTAAAAAAGAGTCCTACTGAGACACCACTATTCTTTCACTCTGCTGTCCTATTATCTTTCTCTCCCTTTCAAGCCAATCTTCATGAAAGAATAGTAAAATGCAATTTCCACCTCTTCATCTCCCATTCATTTCTGAACACACTACCATCTGGCTTCCTCCTCACATAACTCCATGGAAACTGCTCTTGCCAATCTTCTCTTTTGTTGCTAAATCCAACAAACATTTTTCAGATTTTTCTTACTTGACTCAGTAGGATTTAACACTACTGACTGTTCCCTCCTCCTTGAAACTCTCCTCTTATTTCACCTCCTAACCTGCAAGATATTTTGTTAACTCTAATCTAAACCCAAACTCCTCTGATGTGCTTTCCCCCAACTGCATACACACACAAACACACACACAGACACACCCCCCCCTCCAGGGGAGCAGCCAGGGGAAAGGCACTGTTCTTCGATTTTGTAGCACTTATCACAATTTGTAATTATATTCTACTTGTATCCATTTATTTAACATCTATCTCGATAACTAAACTGTAAAACCCCAAGGGAAGGGATTCAGTCTGTCTTGTTCACTTCTGTATCCTCAGCATCTAGCAGTTCCTGATATTTATTATATTAGGTATCCAGTAATACTTGTTGAATGAATGAACGCCTGGGAGGCAAGTCCTGGAGAACTTCATGCAAATTAAGCCACATTAGCTAGGCCTCAGAGATTTACCGCCAGGTCCAGAGAGAGGGCAGAGAACTTGACCCCTTCCCAACGTCGCAGCCCATTTTCACTTCAATTAAGTTCCCCTAGGAAACGAAACATACTCAGGGCACACGGCAGGTCTGTGAAAAACGAAGAGTCTGTGGGGTTATTAAAGGCATAAATTGTTGATACTGGCCACCTTCCATCAGGGCCCCAGGAGCCTGCCTATCTGTCCACCATTAGGGCTCTAAGGCTTCAGGAAAAACTTGACCCAGCCATAAACTTAGGGCAAAAACTGAGGAAGCCAAGCTTGATTAAAGGTAAAATCACCTTCTTCCCAGCCAGTGAATGTGTCACAAACAAGCTGCAAAGCACTTAGAAAATCAGGCCAGAAGACGGGGAGAAATTCCAAGGCTAGAGTCAGAGAGCCCTCAGAAGAGGGTTCTGCAGGCATCCTGAAATCCTGAACAGAGCAATGAGAACCAGACTGGGGAAAAAAATCATCACTCAAGGGGCCAGGACACCCACACTGGCAGGGCAGGAAGAAGACACTGGAAAGGTCAGAATGAAAGTCCCTCCGGCAGTGCTGCCAACTCTGATCTGCTTTGGAGCTGGTTTCGCCCACATAGACATGAGTGGGAAGACCCCTTGGACCAGTGCGCACCGAGGAGCATCTAGAGGGAAGGACCCAGCATCCAGCACCCAGCACTAGGGAGGCCCACAGGCAAGGCTCAGGGATTACGAATGAGTGAGAAAAAGAAGTAAAGAGGCTTCCAGCACCATAGGAGAAAGAAGTCTGGGAACTCAAGCTGTTTTCTGAAGCTTTGGCTTCCTCATGGCTGACTTTTGATTTTCATGAATTTCTGCATTTCCCTATGGGGATTAACACTAGGACCACAGGGTTTATTTCGTAGAAAAAAAGGAAGCGAGCAGCAGCCTCCCACCAGCTTGGCTTGGGGTCACGCTAATTCCTAAAGTCAATAGGGAGCTGGCTCTAGACATCCAAGTGACCCTAGGGGCAGCATAAATGGCTTCTTTCTCTCCTCTGCTCAAAGCCCCAGACTTGGTCCCCCACTTACTTAGTCTCTCTTCTTCCAACAGGCTCCTCCTCTGCATTGTCAGTGTCACTGCTTTCATACTGTACAGGGATGTCCGTCGCCAGTGCCAAGGGCAGGAGACTAAGGCCATCCTGCCACCGGATCTCTTCCAGGGCCACCTCAGCACCAACAATACCCAGGCTGTGCTGTAGCTCAGGCAATGTAAGTGGTCGCCGCCATGTAGCCAACTCCTCCTTTACTTGCTGCCCACCCCACCGAGCCTGCACAAAAGGGCAGGCAGGACGTAGGAGCCCATGATGGAACCTCTCCTTCTGGGGACAGCAGTCAACATGGGAGGCACTCTCTAACAAAGAGACATCTGGGGGAAAAGCCTGGTCTATGGCATCTAGCAGGTCCAGCTGGAGCTGGGATTGGACCCTAGGTGCCCAGCGGTACAGCTGCTCCAGGAAGGGCAGCAAATCAAGGTGACCAACAAGTAGTGCACGATATGGAGGCAGCAGACCCAGCACTGCATGCAGGTAGTGCCAAGCTGCAGGGCTGCCGTCCTGCAGCACAGCTGAGAACAGAGATTGGAGCTCAGCTACCAGGGGCTCCAGCACTGTGGGCTGCCCTGACTGAGTCACTGCCTTCAGGGACCGCCTCTGTTTCCTCTGACAGGCCCAGGGCTGCTCTTCTTTGTCTAGGACACATACAGAGTGCTGCCGAGATCCAAGGGCTTCAGATGATGTCCCTTCAGGAGACAAGCCTACCCTTGTCCCAGAGACCAAGAGGAGCTGGGCATTCAACTGCTGTCGAACTGACCTTGCCCACAGCTCAGGCTCCGACTGCCAGTTCCAGGTTCCTGGCTGCTGGGCCTCACCTGGTTGCCCCAGCCCAGGAGAGAGGCAAGAGAAGGGGCCTTAGGCTCTGGGCAGGGGATGGTCATGGTCAAAGGTTAGGGGAAATGCACGTAGCTGCAGGGCAAAGCCAGACCAGCAGAGGGCCTTTCCTGAGACCCTCCCCCTCCCTACAGCTTCCCCAAAGACTCTAGCGAAGCAGGCCCAGGGCAGAGGTGGGGGCCCTCCCTGCACAAGAGTTCCTTCCCACCGCCCAGGACATTGTCACCTCACCTGGCCTAAGGGGTACAGGAGGCAAAGGAAGGGAAGAGGGATAGAGCTGCTGATGAGGTTTCATCGGGAGTGCCTGTAGGGGAAACAGATGAACTTAGACTTGGGTCCTAGGCACAGGCTCACTCTACTCACAGCCACCTACACACGGAGAGACTGGCACACACACGTTTGATCACTCTAGAGGCAAAGTGACACACAGCGAAAGGCTCACTCAGAGAACCTCGGTAACAGCAAGGAACCGTCACTGGGAGTGGAGCCTGGTGATTGCCTGAAGGGGAGGAATAGGTCACTCAGAGGCAGCGAAGCCCCCATCCCACCCGCCCAGCCCATGGGCTGAAAGCAGAGGAACGGGCACAGAGAACTAGTTGGTCGGGATGGCGGGGGGAGCGAGCGGAGAGGAAAAAGTGGCAAAAGACCTGGGCCGGGAGGAAGAGGGAGAGGGGGAGGAGGCGGGCTGTGTGGGAGTGTGGGAACAAGAGACCCTCCTGGGGACAGTGGCGAGAGTGTTTCCAGGGGCGAAGAGAAACGGATCCGAGCCATGGACTCACCCGCAGCTCCAACCTCTCCCAGCGGTTAGAACGGTTACGGGATCCGGTGAAGCCCGAGCCTCCGCCCGGAGCCCCCGAGGAGCCGGCGAAGGGAGCGGCGGGGGTCGAATACCGGCCGGCGGGCGGGCCGAGGGGGCGGGGCCAGCGCCGGGAGGGCCGCGGCTCACGCCAATCCCGCAGGCTGCCCGCACGCCTCGGGAACAGGGGGTCTGCCTGGCCGGGTCTGAGGAAAAATGACATGGTCGATCTCCTGGGGGCGTCGTGGGCAGGTGTAATCCCTGCTTCTGTGTATCCATTCACTGACCGTCTAAGCTAGCGCCAGGCACCAATAAGCTATGTTTTTGGGAAACCCCCTACTCACACACAAATCCACCTACCCCATCTCACTCTCCTAAAAAACCCCGAATAAGGTAAAATCCTTGAACACAGGGATCTCAAAATGGGAGGTGGGGAGCCGAATGATTTAAAACAAAAGAAATTCAGCATGATAGAGTCGCACCGCTGCTCTGAAATCCAGATTCGTACATCCATCTGCCTACTTAATGTCTCCATTTGGATATCTGATAAGTACTCCAAACTGAAAAACTTAAAATGTCCAAAGCTAGACAGACTCCTAACTGCCTCCCTCAAAAAGAAACCTGCTCCTTTCACTGTCTTCCCCTTCTTAGTGAATGACAAGTCCACTTTTCCAGTTGCTCAGGTCAAATCCTTAGTCACCTTTGACTTCCCACCCTCCCCCCAGACCCCTACATCCCATGTCTACTCCTTCAGCAAATTGTTGGCTATAGCTTCAAAATATACCCAGAATCCAACTATTTCTCACCCCCTAAGAGCTCAACCTTGGTCTAAGCCACTATCGTTTCTCACCTGGATTATTCCATAGCCTTCCAATTGGTCTCCCTGCTTCCACCCTTGCCCCTAAAATCTGTTCTTTTCAGAGCAGCCAGTGACCCTTCTCAAATATAGGCATATCCTGTCACTCCTCTGCACAAAACCCACTAATGCCTTATCATCTCATTCCCTCAGGTGAAAGCCAAAGTCCTATGATGGCCTACTAGTTGCTATCTCATCAGTTGCCTGCTACTTCTGTAACCTACTCTCCTACTCTCTCTCCCTATTCACTCTACTCCTGCTGTGCCTGATCACACCAAGCATGCTCCCACCTCAGAGCCTATGTACATCTCTGTTTGTGCATCAGTTAGGAGACAGACAAGTTTTCTAGGGCTGTGTAACAAATTACCACAAACTAAGCAGCTTAAAAACAACACCCATTTAGTATCTCACAGTTCTGTACATCCAAGTCCAGCAAGGCTTGGCTGGCTTCGCTGCTTAAAGTATCACAAGCCCGAAATCGAGGTGTTGGCTGGGTTGAGTTCTTGTCTGGAGGCTCTGGGGGAAAATCCTCTTTCAAGCTCATTCTTGTTGTTGGCAGGATTCAGTTCCTTGTGGTTGTAGGACTGAGGTCACTGTTTCCTTCCCGGCCATCAGCTGGGGGCCACTCTTAGGTCCTAGAAGCCACCTGACTTCCTTGTCATATGGCCTCTCCATCTTCAAGCCAGCAACAGTGCCTCAAACCCAAGATTTTCATACTTCAAATCTTTCTGATGTCCTCTTCCACAATCAGCCAGAGAAAATTCCCCGCTTTTACAAAGTTCATGTGGTTACTTACTGGGTCAGGCCCACCCAGATAATCTCCCTTTCTTACAGTCAAGTATGCCATATAATATAACCTAATTGAAGAAGTAAAATCTGTGATATTCACAGTCCTAGGGATTATGCAGGGTGTGTACACAGGGAGCGGGAAATCTTGGGGACAGTCTTAAAATTCTGCCTACTACACATATGCTGTAATAACAAAAAGACCCCAAAATACAATGGCTTAAACATGATAGGAGTTTATTTTTTTCTCTCATAGAACTGTCCAAGAATGAGTACTGCAGGGCTAACATGGCAGCCTTTTAGTTGTTCTGCCTTCTCCAAGGAAGTGGTCCTTGAGAGAAGGTCCAAGAGAGTTCAGCACTATGTCTGCTAGGCCCCTTCCCAACTAGTGAGATGGGGGAAAGAGAAAGCATACCCTTACTTTTAACGGCACAATCTGGCAATGCACACATCACTCCATCACGTGACACACCCAGCTGCAAGGAAAGCTGCAAAATCCAATCTTTATTTTCTGTGGCGATGTGCCCAGATAAAAGTCAGGGATTCTATTAGTAAAGGAAGAGGGGGACAACGGGTACCGGGGAACAACTAGAGGCGTCTACCACAGTGAACACTCTTCTTCCAGATGTCCACCAGGTTTACTCCTTCATTTCAAGTCTCTGCTCAAAGAGACCTTATTAGTGAGTTCTTCTCTGACCACCCGGTATAAAATAGTAACATTCTCTCCACCTAATTTTTTTCTTCTTACCCTGCATTATTTTTCTCCACAGCACTTATTACCATCTCATATAAATACTTATTTAATTGCTTATTATCTGCTTCCCCTGACTAGAAACATCAGCTCCATGGCGGCAGAGATTCTGACTGCTCTCTGCTCTATCCCCAGCCCCTAGTGCTAAGCACCATGAGTAGGCGATCTGAAAATATTTGCGGAACAAATGAATACAGGTATGGCAATCTTCATTGGTGAGAAAGAGGACAGGCTCTGGAGTCAGACTGCCTGGATTGAAAACCTGAATCCACCACCTACTAGTCATGGGATATTTTACCTCAGTTTCTTTTTTTTGTAAAATGAAGATAATAATCGTTATCTACTTTTTATAGGGTTGTTGTGAGGATTAAATGAGTTAATGCTTAGAATAGAGCCTGGTGGATAATAAGCAGGTGATATAACTGATATGTGTGAGCTATGTGTTTTGTCATTGTTCATGGCACTCTACCAAGTGCTGGTGACATAATGGTGAACAAGACACAACAGGGTTCAGTGAGGAAACAAATAAGGGCAGGGGCAACCCTTTCTGGAAAGAGCAAAGGAGTCACAGGTCACAGGAGGCCTTAAAGTTTACGGCCTTAACACAACGGTTTTCTAGACAGACAAGGACAGAAGGGAATTATTCAGTAACCTCTACTGAGCCCTAAACATGCCTAAAAACCTCATTCTGTTTTTTTCGTTAGTTCATTCTTCCATTCTGTGCAAAGACTATTTCAAACCTTCTGCACTCTCTCATCTTCCATTTTGTTCTGCTTTATTCTCCAATGATAACTTCACCTCCTGTTTAAAAAATAAAATTAGATGCTGTATCAATCAGGGTTCTCTAGAGAAACTGAACCAATGGGATACATGTATATATAAAGAGATTTATTTTAAGGAATCGGCTCACACAATTGTGGGGGCTGACGAGTCCAAAATCCATGGGGTAGGTCGGCATGCTGGAGACTCAGGCAGGGTTATCGTGCAGTCTTGAGGCAGAATTTCTTCTCTGGGAAATCTCAGTTTGTGCTCTTAAGGCCTTCAACTGATTGGATGAAGCCTACTAACATTATTGAGGGCCATTTCTGTTACTTAAAGTCAACTAATTGTAGATGTTAACTACATCTATAAAATACCTTCAGAGCAACTCCTGTTTAGCATCTGATTAAATTACTGGGTACTGTAGCCTAGCCAAGTTGATACATAAAACTAACAATCACACATTCTATTGAAAAGAAACTCTCTCAATCTCCCAATACCAAATCAAAAAGCTACTTAGATCTGCTCTCATCTATTCCTCCTTCCTCCCTATTACCAATAAGAGGTGCTCCTTCTCTCTCTAAAGCCAAGCTCTAGACCTCTGCTCTGGAACTATTCTCTCTTGTCTTCATTCACTCAACAAGTATTTACTGAGCATCAACTGAGTTGGGCACTATTGTAGATGTTCAGTTATATCAGTGTACAAAATAATAACATTGACAAAATTCCTGACTTTTGGAGCTTACATTCTAATGGGGGACACAAATAATAAACAAAATGAGATCCTTCACCCATTTCACCAATGGGTAAAGGGCTCAAAAGGGAAAAATAAATAAATAAAAAATAAAGAAAGCCTAGGCAGAATATAAGTATGAGTCACAGGAGACTGGCCAACACATAAGGTTTAATTTAGAATTCTCAAGTTCCACAGAAATCTTACTGATCTTAATCTTCACCCTCTCCAGCAGAATCACATTTAGAGAATTTATATCACTAGTTTTAGGAAAGAAAATATCATCTTGAATCTGAAGGAAGAAAATTACCTCTCAATGTAAAAGCCCCACATTGGTTTCCATCCTAACTTAGTTCCTGTTTAGATTAGATGATAAGCCTATTCCAAAAGTCCATACTACTTACTGTTTATGTATGATAGTAGCCCAAAATAGGCTCACAGCAACAACAAAAAATACAGTAATCCACTGCAGGGGACAATGCCAATATAAACAATTTTGTATAATCATGGTAGCATATAGAACAAATTTTATTAGAATCTTGATCCAGAATTTTTTTTAAAAATGAGTAAACTACATAGTATGTGAGAAATGTTAGTGCTATGGGGAAAAAAAGCAGGATAAAGGGGACCAGGAATGTCTGAGAGGAGGATGGGTTGCAATTTTAAATAGGGTAATCAGAGTACACCTTAATAAAAAGGTGACATTCAAGCAAAGACATGAAGAAAAGGAGGGCAGCCCTTCCCCCTGTCTTTTGCTTGGTTAATTCTAATTCATCCTTCAGAACTCAGCTTCAAAATCACTTCCTCAGGGAAGCTCTCCTTTATCCCACACACAGGTAAGTTAGTACTACCGTATGTTCCCATTACAATGCACATTTCTTCTTCATAACATTCATCAGCGTTGTGATTACTTGTTCTATATAGACCTTCACCATACCTACATTAACTTCCAAGAGAACAAGAGTTGCATCTCTTTCATTCACCTCTGTATCTGCAGGGCTTAACAGGGTTGGTAAAAGTAGTCTCTCAAGTATTTGTGAAATATGTGAATATATGGAAGAATGTGGGGCATACCCAGAAAAGGAAAAACAGTCCAGAATTAGCATGATGTGTCTGAGCACCACAAATAAATTGATCTTTTTATAACCAAGATAAGAGAATCAAAAACCGAGGAAACAGGGTTGAAGATGAGGCCAGAGAGGTCATCTGGGACCTGATCAGATAAAGCCTCAGTTGTGATGCTTAGAAGTCTGAAGGTCAAGACAGGCATTAAGCAGATGAGTACCATGGTTAAATTTGTATTTTATAAGAATCACTCTTGGCTAGTATGGACAATGGATTGGTAGATGTCTCCCAATAGCCATTCTTCTCTTCTTCCTTAGTAACAGAACGCCCAGTTTTTAATGGGGTAAATGACTGGTAAGAATAAAGATGACATTTCCCAGCCTCCTTTGTAATTAGATCTATCCACATGACAAATTTCTGGTGTGCAACTTCCAGGATGTGTCTTTAAAGGGAGCAGGGCATGCCCCTTCACGGCCACTCCCTGCCCCATTCTGCCCCTTGGAATGTTTGTGTGATAAATAAAGTTCCGTCTTGGGTCACAAGGATAAGGGTTATACCCTAGACACAACAAGCAGAAAGCTGATAAATAGCTTGGTTCTTAGATGACTGTGATGTCACCACACTAGTTTTGGACCAGATTTTACTTGAAAGAGAAAGTTTGTAAGTCACTGTTATTTTGAATCTCTTACATGTACCTTAGCTAAATCCTAACTAATCAAAAGGGGTCCAGACTCAGGGAAGAAGCTCTTAGGTGACTGCTGCTGTAATCTATATAAGAGCTGATGAAAGCTTGACTAAGGTGGTGACAAAGAAGATGGAGAGAAAAGAAAGGGTTCAAGAGTATTTAAGCAGAACTATAGTACTTAGAAATTCAGTGGAGGGGCCAGTCCCATGGCGGAGTGGTTCAAGTTCTGTGCACTCTGCTTCGGCAGCCTGGGTTCACGGGTTTGGATCCTGGGCATGGACCTGCTCCACTCAACAGCCATGGTGAGGAGGCATCCCACATACAAAATAGAGGAAGACTGGCACAGATGTTAGCTCAGGGCTAATCTTCCTCAAGCAAAAAAAAAAAAAAAAAAAAGAAATGAAACTAGAATGACAGAGAATGATTTGCTCCTGATGGAGGCTTTCAGGTGTTAACTGATCTGCGAATATTAAGAGCAGAAGATACCAACCAGTGAGATTTTGAATGAAAAACACCTCTAAATTATGGGCAAAAGGTCAAAATTTAAGTACAGATTCACTTCTGTCTCTTCTGAAAAAAGCCTTTCTCTTGTTAATAAATAAAAGATTGAGCTGGGAGACTGAAAAATGTTCATTGAACAAATATTTATCAAGCAGATATTACGTGCCAGGCACTGTGATAAGGATTCAATGGTGAGCAATACAGACATGGACTCTGACCTCATGAGGTATATAATTACCAACTGTTAGAAGGGCTATATGCTAAAAAACATGAGAAATTATGGGAGCTGGAGTCTGGGAAGAGCTATCTGAGGAAACAGTATCTGAACTAAGTACTCAAGAATGAGTAGAAGTTAAGCAGGTAAAGTAAGGGGGAAAGCATTGCAAGCCAGGAAACAGCAGGTACAAAGGCCCTGAGATGGAAGAGTGTGTGACAGGTTAAAGGAACTGAAAGGCCAGTGTGGCTAGAGCACAGAGAGGCCGAGTGAGGTGTGGTTCAATTCAATTCACTTCAACAAACAGTATTGGCAGTCCAGTGTTTGACAGTCACTGATAAGACAAAGCTGAGGTAGGCAGAGGCTGGATCATGCAGGGCCTTGTAGGTCCTGTGTAGAATGTGTTTTTATTCTAAGAAGAATGGGAAGCTATTGCAAGGTTTTAAGCATCAGTTTGTGTTTTCTGGCCAATGAATGGAGAACAGATTGGAGGGGTGCAAAAGTGGATACGGGGAGAAGCAGCAGTTGCAATAATGCTGGTGGGAGACTGTGAAGATGGAGAGAAGCAAACAGAATCAAGGGATATTTAGAAATGTAAACAGATAGGATTTGCCAATTGAGTGAGGGGATGAGTGAGGTTTCTAGCTTCTGCACCTGGATGAGTGGTAAGCATAGGAGGAAAGTTTATGAGGAAACATGTTGCGTATGGGATGTTTTTGAGATGCCTAAGTGCAGATGTCAATCAAGTAGCTCAGAGCAGAGATCTGGTCATCAGTAACTAAAGCCCAGAGTGCGGATGAAACAATCCTAGAAAAATTAAACCGAAAAACAACAGGACCTAGAGAAACTTATATTTAAAGGCCAGACACGGATGAGCCTGCAAGAGGCTAAGAAGCTGCAGCCAAAGAAGTAGTGGTACAGTCATGTGGGTGGAATCCCCGAGACCAGTGAAGACTGTCGATGATGAGGAACTAGTCGACAGTAACAGATGCTACCGAGAAGTGAAGTAAGCTGAGGACTTGGAAATAACTATTGGACTCGGGAATATGAACGTCACTTGGTGAACCAGGGTGACCTCCCTAAGAACTATTTCAATAGAATAAAGGTTGTAGAAGTCAAAACAGACTGCGTGAAGGAATAGGAATGGAGAGGGCCAAAGTACCAACTGTTTTGAATTTAGCTATAAAGTGGAAAAACAGAATGGTAGCTGGAGGAGAAATGAGGTATAGACTGTTTTTTTTGTTTTAACAAGGGAGTCTTTAGCATGTTAAACACTGGTGAGAAGAATTTAGTAAAGTGGGAAAAAGTCAGAGATTCCCAAAGGACAGACTAGGATTCAGAGCACAGGAATAGGCATTAACCTTGAGAGGGATGCTTGCCTTGTTCAGACAGGAGAGAATGAAGCAGATGCCAGGTGAGTGACCAAGTTTGGTTGCGAGATGTTGCAGGAGTTCTCAGCTGATAGCTTCTACTTTTGCCTATGAAGTAAGAAATATGGTTACCTGCAGAAAGTGAAGAGAATGGTGGGGGGCAATAAGAAGCTTAAGAATATTGGTTTGAAATAATCATTGCAGGGAGAAAAGATGAAAAGAAAAACCTGGTGGGATTACAGGGGCTGAGATTCCATTTGAAGTTGGTAACCACGGATTCATGTTGATATAAATGTGCTCTATAGTGATTTTCTTGGGCAGCTTTTAGCTGCCCAAATGCAGGCACAAATGTTTCATTTCATCTAAGAGTCCAACAAAGACATGAAGCAAGGAAATTTAGCTTATTCCAAGAGAATCACAAGAATTTCAGCTGGATAGGAATCTAAAGGCAGGAAGGGGTTAATGGAAAGAGAGAAGGTAGAAGTGATGGCGTGAATGCTCCAGTGAAATCAAAGAATGGTAGTAGAGGAATACTTCGATAAACAAAGTAGAAGGAATACTGTCAATGAGTAAGATGCAAGTAACAGTGTTTTGAAGATGGAGCAGTTTGGGCTGATGACGACGGCTAGGATATAACTAAGGGAGTGGCTGGCTAAGACAGACTGGAAATCATTGGAGATTAGGTCAAGGAATTAAGAGACCAAAATACTGAATGGACTGTCCATGTAAACATTAAAGCACCAAGGGGTGGATATGAAGACCAAGGGATAGCTATTTAGAGGAAATAGGAGAGTGGTAGTTACTAAGAACAAGTAATGAGAGATAGTGGTATAGTTGAATAGCCTCAAAGGAATCAGTCTTTGCAAATGAGTGGGCAGTTAAGTTCTAAAGCCGCAATGGTGGGAACACCAACGCTGTTTCCAATGTTTGTGATAAAGGGATAAAGCTTTGTCAACGTTTATTCTTGTGTTGTACTTGAGACATCACCATTGCTCTCATTATGCCAATGGCTACGGTTTATGGCAAGACTTAAGGGAGAGATTTCCACAACTATGGAAGATGGATGGTAGGAATAAGGTACTTCTAAGTATCAAACATATTTATAAATAGGAGAAAGAACCAGGACAGAAAAGATTGAAAATTTAAGGGACTAATTGATGGATCAGATTGAGGGCCACTTGTTTTTCCATGCCTAAGGACTGGATGGGTGCAGATGAGCAAGCAAATATAAACTCTGGAATTTCAAAGAACATAGGCTTTAGAGTCAGACAGATCTATGTTCCTAGCCCTGCTCCAGCAATTACTAATTATGTGACCTGGAAACACAGATAATTCACAAGGGAAGTTTACTGCAAATGTTAATGTAGAATTCTCCCACCAGCAGCACAATATCCCAGGGCCTCATTCCCATCTCTGGGAATTGGTAAATTCAAAAGATGGTTTACTTGCATTTATACTTTCCAAGGACAGAATTTTATTGGGTAGACATGAAGCCAGTCAATAGGAAAGTTCCTGCTCAGCAACTTTTACGTTCCTAATAAATTTTTCTGTTCAAGAGACAGCAGCTAAGGAGGCAAAAAGCTGATTGCAACCACTCTTCTTAATAGGTAACTGTATAAGATGGGCTTCTGGTACATTCTGGATTCTTGCTTCCTCATCTGTCAAGTGGGCATAATACCTCTTACTTATAGTTTTGTTGTAAAGATTAACTAAGATAAAGCATAACATATACCAACATCAGAACCTATACAAACTGGGTGCTCAATAGGTATTACTTTGAGAGGCAGCCTAGTGTAGTAAAAAGCACATGGATTTTAAAGTCAGATCTGCATTTTAATACAGAGTCTGCTACTGGAGAATTTCACCTCCCTGATCTGTAGAGAGGAGAGAACATCTGCTTTGTGCGTGGTCATAAGGAGTTTTTGATTATTCTGGGAACTAATGTCTAAGAGCTTCCATTTCCTCTGTAAAAAATGAAACGTGGTCACCTGATGGGGGATAGTTGAGGGTGAGGTGGAGGATTAAGGAGAGCAGTGAAGGTGTAAAATCACTGCCAAGTTGATTAGGAGAGGGAATAGACCAGGAATTCATACAGGGTTGCTTGTTGGTAGTGAGGGCTTGGTTGGGGTTGCAGACCTTGAACATTTAGTGGCATTCATTACACAGCTGTGTTTTCCTCTAACGGCTTGAATGAGGAATAGAAAAGATAAAACAGCTGAAATGACACAAAAAGGACACAAGGGTGGCAAGAAAATGTGGTGATGGAGTGCCATTCAGACTGCTAAGTACAGAAGTAAACTCCACAAGAGGGCCAATAATGAGAAAAGAATGTAGAAGATGGAATTAGAAATCACAGAATGGGTACAGTGGGAACAAGGTGGGATAGAAGTTAGGGGAGCTAGAATTAGATTACAGACAAGCAGTGAGACATTAAGGTAATATTAAAGAGGTCCCAAAGATTTCGCTTTATCCTTGTTTTTTCCCATAACCACCACCATCTATTTCTCCCTTAGATTTCTCTCCTTCAAGTCTGACTGTATTACAGAATACAGTCCCCCAAGTTTTCCCTTTTCTGACTGCCCCTGAAGACAAGGCATATAGACCTTCTTTGTTTAAAGGTTTTACTGCTCATCCAGGGAAGACACAACATAGTAACAAAGTAACAACTTGAAGAAATGGTGGAAGTTCCGGAACACCCCAAAATTCTTACAGGTTTCATCTCTGTCCTGGGGCTACTGACTTCCCAGAAGGTAGTGCCTAAAAGCCCTGTGGTTTCTTGATCTGTTGTCCTTAGATACTGCCTCCTTTCCCTAAATCTGGCAAAATTCCTTCTTGTAAGACACAGTCCATGAAAAAACAGTTATGAAGGAACGCATATCTGGCTCAAAAGTGGGCCGTTTAAGTCAGAGGTTTAAGTTAAGGACAACTAGAGAGAGCTCCCATTTTCTCTGTCTTCTGGGCAGAAACCAACTTCCTGTTGCTATTATTAACCTTAAAACTATACCCACAGACCTTGCTTTAACCAGCTCCCTGGGAATGCTGAGGTTTTCCTTCTAGACATAGAAGGCAATTTCCCACCTGCCAGGGCTGAAGCCAGCAGATATGCACTAACTGACAAAACAAAGCATGGTCCCAACAAAGTGGGCAAAGCTTCCCTGCCCAGAATATAAATGAAACAGAGTAAAAGCGGGTTTATTGGCTCCAGGAAAAGGAGCAATGGCACCCAGCTCTCAAGCAACTCTCTCTCTATACAGGCCGCACCCAGCCCAAGGTCTACTGGCTCCTTCAATTTGAGGGTCCATCAAGCGCTTCCCTTCCTGGGGTTGGGGATGGCTAGCTGCCTGATGGCGAGGTTCCGGGCTGTTCAGCAGCAACACCTGGCACAGCTGAGGCAGCCTCGTAGTCTGCGATGCGGCGCTGTACCAGAGCAGGCATGAGTTGCACGTAAGCGGCCATGAGGCGGTGGTTGGAATGGATCAGCTTCCCAGCACAGCTGTGCAGACATGCCTCCTGGAAGGAAGACAGGGTGGAAGTAGAGGCCAAAGGTGTCCTGTCAGGTCCGTCTCCTTCCTTCCCATCCCCAGCCTAGGAGCAAGGGGTCGTGGAAAGGCCAGGGCCAGAGATGGGGGAAGTGAGGGAAGGAGGGAGCAGCCTACCCTCTCTACTCAGGTCCCCACCTCCTCAGCATCCAGAGCTCGGTGGTGCAGGCTGGGCACGCAGCGCTGGAAGCAGAGTTCCGTCATGCGATTGTAGACCAACAAGAAGTCCCGTAACTGGGAGAAAAGGAGACCAAGAATTCAGAGACAAGGGGGCCCGCATCTCAATTCAAGCCGCGCCGCCCACGGTTTCCCAGCACCGAGCACCACAGCCCGACGTTTCCAGCCCTCGGACCCCTGGCTCTTTGGGGTTCCCGCCACGCGGACGTGGATGCGAGCTGAACGTATACCCCCTCAGCGACTGAGCTCCCACTCACGTTTCTCAGCTGTTGCTGCTGCTGCTGCTGCTGCTCCATCACGCCGCCGGCGCGCGGGTACGTCACTTCCGTTCCGTTTCTCGGTAACGCCCCGGAAGTAAGCTCTCGTAGCTCCCCAAGGAATGAGGGGTTGGCTCAAGGATCGCCCTGCCCCCGGTTGCCAACGTCACCTCCGCCCTTATAATCTGCGACGTGGCCGGCTTCTTCTGCCCGGGAGAGGACGTCACTTCCACCGAGTCCCTGACCTGCTGCTAGGATCGCGACGGGAACTGGAACCCGAGGTCCCCGCGCCGCCCGGGCCTGGCGCCCTGAGGGGAAGAGCGGCCCGGCCCGAGGTGAGAGGGACGTACTTGGGCAAGGGGAAGTTGAAAGCACAAGCCTGTCCTGAGGGCAAGGTGCCTCTGAGCCCTGAGGAAGGATGAGGGCACACCTGATGCCCAGGTGTATGGGGGCGGCGGGCATTCACACACCTGGGGCGACATAACTGACTTTGAAAGGGATCACCTATATCCTGGGAAAAAGAGGCTTTTCTCAGAGGCCAAGAACAGATACCAACTGATTCAGTTAAGGCCTGGGTGTAGGGCAGGAGGTGCATGGGATGGAGGAGGGGGAGACCACCTGAAGGAAAGGGGAACAAACACTAAAAGAGTGTGAAAGACCAAGCAATGGAGAACATACCTGAATGGGGGTTAGGTACCTGAGCTCTGGAAAGGGGTTCTTCTCCTGATGGGGGAAACACCTGCATGGGGATAAGCTCCAAGAAAGCACAGACTTTGTCTGTCTCGTTCGCTACTGTATTTCCGTTGCCTCAAATAGTGCATGACACATAGTATGCACTCATTAAATGTCTGTTGGATGATTGAATGCATGAATGATCAATAGAGTCCTGGTGGGGTTGGGAGTCATGAGAAGACACCTGAGGCCTGAGTATGAATGTGTAAAAATATGCGCCTTGGAGGGGAGAAATACATGCCTGAAGAAAGGAGTAGTGGCCAAACCCCAGAACACTCAAGCCCTGGAACAACCTCTCAAACCTATGGAATGGCAGGGGATACCTTCCTCTTCTGTAGTACTGGCCAGTTTCCAGAACTGTCTCTGTTGGGCTTTGCAGGGCGCTGGGGTGGAGACTTTGACTCCAGTCCCTTCCCTAGCCATGACGGACGGGATCCTAGGGAAGGCAGCCACCATGGAGATCCCCATCCATGGCAACGGCGAAGCTGGGCAGCTTCCTGAGGATGATGGGCTGGAGCAGGTGCTTCTGTTTGCTTCTTCTCCGTAATATTTCAATTTAGGAATCCCAATTTATAAACCCTGGGCTCTGACCCCCTATTCCAGTAGGCTTCCCCTAACTTGTCTAACTCCCTTCAATCTTTTTATAAATCTTCATTCTGATTCTGTGCAGACTTCCCTTGTGCACTCTCTCTATGATGCTTCAATCCAAGCTTATTCTCATCCCCAAAATGCTTCAGCTGCCCCTATGTTCCTGAAGCCCCCCTCTTCTCTGGCCTATAGGACCTCCAGCAAGTGATGGTGTCAGGACCCAATCTCAATGAAACCAGCATTGTGTCTGGTGGCTATGGGGGCTCTGGTGATGGACTCATCCCCACAGGTATGGATGATCAGAACAGGCCAGGAAGCTTGAGTGGAGAGGGGGAGAGGAATGGTTCTGGGGAGTGTAGGATATATCTAAGAAAGCTTGAATTATGTCCAGAGATCTTGGGAACCTCTGCTAGTATGAACCCTATGGACTCTCCTCAGCCCAAGGTCAGTTCCCAGTGTTGTTCAGCTACTCCCACTTGCCATTTAGCCCCTGAGATGCGCCCATTTGTCCTTTCTCTGCTGCCACCACTTGAGTCAAGTTAAGAACTCTGTTTCACAGGAGTTCCCCCTGCTCTGGAGCATGAGGCTGATTTGGAACTCTGTGAGCTTCACAGAGTTTTACGTTAGACTCTAAAATTTAGAGGAACAAACAGCGCTGAATCTCTCACTGACTAGGATTCCACATGAGCGTGTCAACCAGGTTTCCTGTTATCAGGACCCACCATCCTTGACCTGCCACCCCATACTCAGCATATTTTCTTTTGTTTCCTCTGCCCCTGTACACCAGCAACTCCCTCTCCCCTCCCCATCCAATCCCCACCACCACCTCAGAAGGAGGCCAGATATATATTGGGATTTGGGTCTCGGGGCCCGAGGTATGAGTTCCTCCTAGTGAGTAGGTGAATCTAATTGTGTCTAGCTTCCACGCCTTCAAAGAAGCTGTTTTCATGTGCTGGGAGGGAAGTGTGGGTGGAGCCACAGAGGTGTCTGGTTGTACCCTTGGTCCTTTAGGGTCTGGCCGCCATCCATCTCACAGTGCCACTCCTGCTGGCCCTGGAGATGAGGTGGCTCGGGGCATCGCTGGAGAGAAGTTTGACATTGTCAAGAAATGGGGCATCAACACATATAAGGTGGGATTCAAGCCCCTCTCCCTTCCCCCAAAACTCCCCCTGGGTACCTTTTCCCCACCTTCCAGATCCTAATATCCCATCTGTGGCTAAGACGAGGAGCCTGGGGATGCTGGGGTAGATACCTGTTGGGGAGGCAGGGTGCTAGGGTCTCTGACCTATTCCCCGACTTCCCATTCAGTGCACAAAGCAGCTGTTATCAGAGCGATTTGGCCGAGGCTCCCGGACTGTGGACCTGGAGCTAGAGCTGCAGATTGAGTTGCTGCGTGAGACAAAGCGCAAGTATGAGAGTGTCCTGCAGCTGGGCCGGGCACTGACAGCCCACCTCTACAGCCTGCTGCAGACCCAGCATGCACTAGGTGATGCCTTTGCTGACCTCAGCCAGAAGTCCCCAGAGCTTCAGGTGCCTCAGCCAGGCCAAAGAGGGTGGGGGGGACTGGGCCCAGGCCCTCCTAGGCAGTCTCCCCTCAGCCTCCCTCCCTCACTCCCTCCCTGCAGCCCAGAGGGAGAACCCCTCCAGGGTGGGCCCAGCCCTACCCCCAACAGCACTCACCTGTGGAGTCAGCCTAAGGGTTTGTACAGAGGTCCAGAAGTCGGAGTGGGTGGGGGAGGCAGCACATTAGGTGCCCCACAAGTAACCCTTCTCTGCATAGGCGAGAATGCCTTCGGTGCTCAGCCTAATTGGAGCCCCTCCCTTGCCTGCTGCACTAGCTTTCCCTGTTCTAGTCCTGTGAACTTATCTGAGAACCCCAACCCGACATTCCTACCCTAGGTATCCCCAGGGTGGCCCCACTAACTTTCCGGCTAAGAGCCTTACTGGAGGCAGTCCTTGATTGTTCCAGTTTCCATGGCTGTTTCCTCCCTGGGGAGGAGGGGAATGAAGGGCTCTACAGTTCTGGTCAGGTAGGGACTGTTACTCAAGGCCTGCCTCTTCCCTTCTGCCCTCAGGAGGAATTTGGCTACAATGCGGAAACGCAGAAGCTGCTGTGCAAGAATGGAGAGACACTGCTAGGGGCTGTGAACTTCTTTGTCTCTAGCATCAACACATTGGTCACCAAGACCATGGAAGACACACTCATGACTGTCAAACAGTATGAGGCTGCCAGGTGTGGGCACTGGCAGGGCCTAGGGTTTGGGGAGTTGGCTGGCATGGGTGGAAGTTTGAGCTTTAAGGGCATAAGAATTGAAGAATGAAAGAAGAGTGTGTGGAGGACAAAGGGGTGGAGACCAGCCTATATCACCTCCTCCCCAGGCTGGAATATGATGCCTACCGAACAGACTTAGAGGAGCTGAGCCTAGGCCCTCGGGATGCAGCGACCCGTGGTCGACTCGAGAGTGCCCAGGCCACTTTCCAGGCCCATCGGGACAAATATGAGAAGCTGCGGGGAGATGTGGCCATCAAGCTCAAGTTCCTGGAAGAAAACAAGGTGCCAACCCCACCCCTTTGACCCAGCCCACCTTTCTGTCTGTAACACTGACCTTTTCCCCAGACCCTCCCCATCACTGGATGGGGAAATGCAGCCTGGCTAAGGAGTGGGATCTTCCCCTAGGCCCCTCAGCCCCTGGTCCTTTCTGATCACCCTCCCTCTGATCCCTGGCCCTATTCTGTTGGAGGATTTGGCTGCTGATCCCAGGAATGTAACTGGGAGAAATCATCCTCTGAGTTGGGGTACCAGAACCCCAGGTCCAGTAGATCAAGTCAGGTTTCTCCCATCGGATTGACCCTTAACTTTTGACTCCCTTGGAGTTCAGCCCCCACCCCAAAAGCACCATCAGATCAGAGTCCATGTGCCCCTAGTCTCGGCTCAGGCTCGTAGTCCCTCAAGAAGGGCATTTGAGTCCATTCTCAGCTGGCTCTGCTGGACCCCCAGATCAAGGTGATGCACAAGCAGCTGCTGCTCTTCCACAATGCCGTGTCAGCCTACTTTGCTGGGAACCAGAAACAACTGGAGCAGACCCTGCAGCAGTTCAACATCAAGCTGCGGCCTCCTGGAGCTGAGAAGCCCTCCTGGCTAGAGGAGCAGTGAGCTGCTCCCAGCCCAACCTGGCTATCAAGAAGGACATTGGGAGGGGCAGTCCTAGGGTGGGGGAGATTGGACATGGGACATTCCTTGCCACCTGCGCTCTGGCTTGGATTCCCTTTCCCTGGCTGGGGCCTGACACCAGTTTTGCCCACACTGCTGTGGGTACGGAGGGGGCCTGCAGGCCCAGCAGCTGCTGCCCTGTCCTTTATCTTCCTGGCCACTGGGCTTCATTCCCAGATCTTTTCCTTCTACTCCACAGCCAAAGGCTGTGACAAAATCACTCCCTGGCCAATGGCATCACTCCTCAGGCCTATCCCTAGCTCCTGGGGGTGTGCCCTCTGACCAATGGCAGAGCCTCAAAAGGCCCTGTCAGCCAATGGCAGCTCTTCTTGGGCTCCCCTGGGCCAATGATGTTGCCTCCAGTACCCTTTGTCCCTCCTCTATGCGTGTCCATTGCAGAGAAAGGGACAGGGACCAAAGGGGTGGGGATAATGGGGAGTCCCATTTCTGGCCCTGCATCTGAATGGGCCTCCCCTCATCTACCCACCCAGTTTAATTGTGCTTAGAGCCCTGGAAGATTGGGCCCTA